GCCTAACACTACAGACCGGAGTTACAAAGTAAAGCAGTAACAAACAGCACCTTCTGGAAATATCTTGGGCCTAATTCAATAAAACATCTGTGACAGAAAGAGTCGATTTAATAACCGCAATAACATTTCCCACTCCAACCCAGCTCCTTCCTCAGACGTCAAATTCAGGTTTCTCTGCTGGCACTCACACCAGTTTAATAGCACAAGGGATTGCTTCATCAGATCAGACAAGCACAGTAAAACTAAAGAAGGCTTAATGTTCAACTCAACTTGGTTATCCATCATGAAAGGGGGATGAAACACACTGTTGTCTGTTTATGAGCCTGCAAGGGTAAGAGTGTGGGATGGCTGCCCTTCCTACTCTGCATATGCCAGCACTGTGTGTGTGTGTGTGTGTGTCTGTGTCTGTCCCTGTCAGCTCAGTGTGTCTTTCTTCACCATGTCCTCTGATCTGCTGCCAAGGGCCTGCAGCTTTCCCTCTCCGTACATCCTACTCATTCTCACCTTTCTCCATGTTCCCTTCTGCCTCATCAAATGCTTTCTTACACGTTGAACGCTGAAAAACAGGGACACTGACCGATTTAATGTAGATATAGGGCACTGGTGAGTCCAGGTAAATGCCTCATTGGTATATTTTATTAAATCTATACCAGTTAGAAAGGAGATGTAAATTTAATATGATGACCAAATCTCAAATACAATGCATTCTTAACACTGAGACTATGAGCACACAGTGAAACATTAGCTGATTTGTATGGTATGGAGAGAGAGACAGGAGGAGGGAGACAGAAAATACAGCCTATTGCTCTCAGCTCCCTTGCTCTGCCTTTCTACTCCTCGTACTGGGTTGCTATGGGAACGGCTCCCTCAGAGGTGGTCTGGCCATTTTATTTCAGGTCTCACCATCGACGCCGCCTCTTCAACAACAATATAATTACTCGTCACCCTGGTTCTTTAATCCCCAGGATTTCCTTCAGGTCAGATGAGCGACCGCCTGCTTTGGCCTTCATAAGGAGGCATTACAGAGAGCCCACAACAAAATGAGGAATAATCTAATTTGACTGTAGACAACCTAAAAATACTATCAACTGTAGCCTTTTTCTGTGTGCCCTACTGTGTTTGTAACAAGAAACTATATAAGAAACTGTCTGTGTACTTCATTCATTGAAAATTCAGGGCCTGGTTCTGAAAATGATGTATTTCCCACTCAGAAAAATAATAATGAGGAATAAAAAGGAATAGCTGTCCGCATAGAGACGTTGTTGCTCAGCAGTCAAGCTAGCAGTGAACTGTGAATGCAGCAGTGAATTTACAGCTCAGGCTACAGTTCATCAGTGAATAAATGCGCAGCTACTCGACAACCAAGCCTAGCACCAGAGTTTTGTTTGCCAACTGACGAGTAAAGTGACGGGGGGGTTGTTCCCAAACTTAGCTACAACTTCAACCCTGGAGAGGTCTCCCCTGTGCTTCCTAGGAATATGCACACTGTTAATAAGCTCACAGTAATTTATAACTGCAACCGTTTGGCCGGATTGACCTTGTCAGGCATTAATGTTTCATGATACAGGCGAGAACTGCTGACACTAATGTCCAAACGAGTGGCAGACACCAGACATGTGTCCTCTCCTGACACTTTTACAGAACAAACCCTATGTGTGTTGTCAGGATGTGTGATTTTTTTATTTATTTTTTGCTACTGCACAGTTTTTAGTTCTGATTTATGTTTCAGAAAAGGAAATCCAATAAATGGAAGGTACATGAACCAGAAAACCTCCCTAGATGGTTACACTACTGTTCCTGATACTATGAGTTTTGACGTTTAATCTTGAGCTTTGTTGCATCAGAAACTATACTTATTTTCCCTTTTGACTTCCAGTCGTACTGGTGTTGATAAAAATGTGTGTGACTGGGTTACTCCCCAGTCTGCCTCACACACCAGCCTTTCAACAGACTGCATTTTACATGAAGACCATTACTTGGCTAACCCACATTAATCCCTCCAAAGGAAGGAAACAGCATAAGGTTAGACAATACTTCTGTAGGCACTCGGATGTGTCCTGTTTGGTTTCCAGTTTCAATGTCCGGACTATTTTTATTTTATAGCTTAATAAAACAAAACATGTGATAAGAATTACCTGGAAATATTACTTCCGGTTTCCAAAGTCCACAATGAATGTGATTTTCAGCTTTCTTTATCTCGCCAAACATGTATTTTTATTTGTTTTATGATGCCTGTAAAGCAGACAATAAAAAGGCCTACATGTGGAATTATAAACATTGTTATTAGGATTTAGTATAAGAGGCTTACCACTTTTTTTAAAACTGGGTTTGCAGGGGGCAGTTATCGAGACACAGACCGTTGCGCAACAACGTAGGGAAAGAACACTGGAAATGGGGGCAGGTAAGAGCGTTTGATAAGCGACACTGAACTTTGGCGACCATAGCAGCACTGAAAAGAAATTTAATTTAATTGTGTTCCATCCATTGTGAATTTAGCCTTCATGAGAAACTGTTTTCCTACAGTAGGTCCCACTTTCTGTTTTAAATAGCGTATATATCATTTTGAAATGAACCCTCTCAAGTGTAGAGAAAGAGATCGAAGGACAGCACGATTTGAAAGGAAGAGGGAGGGAAATGGAGTAAGCCAGTCTGCTCGTTATCAGCAGGCTCCAAAATGGCCCTTTAATTAAAAGAAGGAGGTAATGAACACGCTTGGGAGTCTGATTAGCAGCTAATGCCCCTTGCTGTGAGCTGATGGGATCCCCCGTCTGCCCTTTTAAAGCTAAACTGAATGGCTCTGACTCAGTACTAGAAGCCACAAACCACAGCAGCACACCAGTTACCTCTGTATTAAAAACTATAACACCTTGGGATTCGAGTGTTACAATGTGGCCTAGATATTGAAACTGTACTAGTGTTAATCATGAATAGGTAGGTTTGGACTACGTTTTGTTTTGCTCACATTATTCTCTCAGGAGAAATTACATCCCTGTCATGGTAATTCTGGAGGTTACACACATGGCATAGTAATAGTGAAATATATATATATATATATATATATATATATATAATAAAAATATATATATATATATATATTCATTATACAACTTTTAAAATGAATATGAGCCCTGAACTAGTGGTATCATTTTACTTTAAGGACTTATCTACACTGGAACACTCATCCAATCCTTGAATTTTTAAATGCCCTTGATCTAGACACTTAACTCATATCTGCTCCAACAGAGCTCCTCAGTGGTGAGTGGGTTGAAAAAAAAGAAAAAAACTCAATTTGTAGTGGGCAGCTCCAAGTGTGAATGTATGCATTTTCTGACCAAAGAGTTCCAGGAACTATAAGACCACAGGAGCTCAGGAACTTAACCAGGAACTAAACTAGGAAATAAAAAGTCCCTTATGTGTTTATGTTATGTTGTACCACAGTGGGTACTCCAGCTGTTTGCCAGGGCTACGTGGAAAAATTATAGAGTGGCTCAGTTAATTAGAAAAAATAGAAAATATGTTTTGATTAGAAAAAATATCCACATATTGTGCCTGTAAACGAGATAGCAAGCTAGCAGAGAAGCCTAAAAAGTTAGGTTAGCGTTCAGCTTGTGCCACTGGTACAGCAGGAGTACGAATGCACTTGACCAAACCAACCTAGACATTAGTTAAATTGCCTGAAAAAATTACTGCTTTATACTGAATAATTAATAGTGCGGGTACTTGACTTCATCTGACAAGGCTGTGAGATAAAAAAAAATTTAAAAAAGTTTGGAAATCACTGCCCAAGGCCACCAGTGCACCCTTGCTGAGTGTTTTATGATAATTTATTTTTGCTTTAAATAGTAAATGGTCTGTATTTGTATCGTGCCTCTCTAGTCTTCCAACCACTTAAAGCCATTTACGCTTCATGCCACATTCACCCATTCACACATATTCATACAGTGATGGCCAAGGCCATCACAAACAGAAGCTAAGTCGTGAATACACAACTCCTGAGCCACAGCTGCCAGAATGAAACCACATAACCTATCCTGTGCAAACACTGCATGATATATCATTTCTAGCCACTCAGCTGTATTGACATCTACAGTATCTAAAGCCAATGAGGTGGAAAACAAAGCCAAGTGGAACAAACCACTGGCTGACTGGCTGACTGATGTAACCGTATTTTCAGTATAAGATCATTAGTCAGTTGGGTTCAGCTTATTATTCAATTCTACACGTCTTCATCACACAGTCTCCTGGTGTGAGGAGGCCTTTGCATGTTACATGAAGACAATTCTCCCTTGTAGCTTCTATTATCATTCCACCACGTTACTCTAAACATCTAAAAGAGTCAGTTGTATCTGGAGCGACACAGTCTGAAACATACATGGTGTCGGCTGAAAGCTCATCAAGGCGCGGGCAGTAATCCAACCATCCATGGCATGCCAAACAATGTGCAAATCTCTCCAAGTCTCTAAGTCGTTTTTGTCTAGGATACAGTAATCCCTTGGTCTCTGTGCCGCAGTGTGAGCATGTATTTGAATATATTAAAACTCCATGGAAAGGGCGATAAGCTGAATTTGAGCTCCTTAACCAGACTGTTATTAAGTTTCCTATGAAAGTTTTACCCAAGGTTGTTCAAAGAGTTTCACTGCAGAGCTCTCAGAGGTCTGAAAATTGGTTCTCTTTGGTGTGCTGGTGTTCTTTAGCATGTTAGTCTGCCACTTTCATCTTCAGAAGGAATATATATATATATATATATATATATATCTGTGCGTACATTTGAGTATATCAAAACTTATACATTTGAAAAGGTGTGTGTCTGTAGGTCTTTGTGTGCAGTATAGGGATGTGTTTGGTTTTTCTATACAGCAGACTTTCAGAAGTCAGAACTACTTTCTCTGTCTGTTGGTCACTACAAACAATAACTAGATAATAAAATGCAGTGAACATGGAGTACAACAAAAATGCCATTAATAAGTGTGTGTGTGCCAGTGAATAAGAGACTATTGTACCTTCCAGAAGTTGTCAACTTTGCCGTAGACTAGTGATTGGTTCTGTCTCTTGATATCATCGATGTGCTTGATGTCGCTGGCGTTGAGGTGCTGCTCCACCACGAAGCCCAGGAAACTGTTGTCGGGGGTATGAGCTGCAGAAAAAGAAATAAAGATAAATACATATATACATACAAAGACACAAAACAAAAGGCATCATTTCATCTTCAAAATGATGTGTTTAAATGTGTTTCAGCAACACAAAAGGAAAGAAAAAGGTGAGAAAAGAGTCAGTTATCATTTCTTTGTGAATAAAATGACAAATGACTTCAGGCATAGTTAGCTATAATTTATGCATCACTGAGGCAAAAACAAAAATGCCTCAAATAAATCTTACACAAGTGTCTGCTTTTCAGAGTGCATACAATTCAGTTGAATAAATAAGCCCATTTGAACCTCAGCGTTGATCACAGATCATAATTCCAGAGAGACGGGAACAGTTGCACAACACAACTGGGCTTTAAAATGCTGTAGAGATTGTGAAGCCCCTTGAGGAGGAGAATTTCTGATTTGTGATATTGGCCTATATAAATCAAATTGACTTGACATCTTGACAAGCACTCTGGGTTTTTGTTCCCTCTGTTCCTTTTTGCCCAGTGATGACTAGTTACTATGGGAACCACAGGATGAGCAGGTCAAGTGTGGAGCCCAGAGCTGGCAGCACTTTACCTCACTGCCATCTGCCTTGTAAAACTAACATGAAGACAAGGGTTTGGAGTTTGGACAGAAAAGATTGGGTCAAAAATACTTAATGATCTAATTTGAAATAAAATAAGCAATAGAATAAGCAGACTGAAAGGCAGACCCCATCAGCTCTTTGAAAGAAACCGGCTGCGAGGGAGGTGTTTTAGTGCACAGTTGTGGTTTGTGTTAGAGCTCCGGGGAGCTGCTGTGGTCAGAGTTGTTTTTTACCACAACGCTATTACTACAGAGGCAAATTAAGGTCAGTCAGTCGGGGGAGATCGAATTCGCTTCAGTATAGTAAATAAAAGGAGGATTTATTGAGACCAAATTTCCATTAAAAAAAATCTCAACACCCTAGCTGCAAATTAAAGTACCTGCCAGCATTTAGTGAGATTCAGCTGCTGCAAATATCAACTGGAATAATCACACCTAATGTAACAAGAAGGGAATGAATGATGAAATTTAACACACGATGACAGGGAATCAGCTGCTGTATCATGGTTCAACTGCAGGTGATAACAGCGGAAACAATGACGGACTGTAATAGCTATGCTGAAGTAGTTTGACACAAAAGGGTTGTGTTTTTATCAGGGCGGTGGCTGAAATGTGAAAAAAAGCCAATGTGTGTTCAATTGGTTTTTCCAGGATGTCCACATATTGGGTCCGGCTAACATATTTAGGCAACAAAACATTCATCAGTCATTTCACCCTAAACTTGAAAAGGGCATGTCTTTTATACTTCCTTACACTGATCATAACTCATAACACAATAACTATAATAAATGTAGCAAGTATAATTCAAGTTCCCAGGACACCAGTGGAATGTTTTTTGAATGCTTATCACAGGTGGTTTCCCACTTTCCTCTCAGCGTCCTGACTGAGCATAGATGTATCCTGATATAGTGTGTAATTACTTTCTCTCTGCAAGAAGAGCCAGACAATATAGTGCACACTATACAGGTGAAAACTCTTCTTTACACTGTACATGATCACATGTCTCAGGGTTGCAAATTTTTTTCCAGCGCCTGTATTCAAATCTTGTTCCTGTTCTGCACTTCCCAGTATGATAATGCAAAGAGGAACCTTCTGGTTCAGTTTGTGTTATGTACATGTAGGACAGCACAGGAATGTGGGAGTAGATGACATGAAGATATCACCAGATCTGTGGAGGTGTCAGTGTGGGCAGGAGCCGAATGTTCTCAAATTACCTGCAGTGTCTCTCTAATATTGGCTGAGAAGACAATAACAATATAAATACCTTAACAACCAGGCTGATTGCACTGATTTCAAGCATTTACTAGTACTAGTTTACTTTACTCAGTCCTACTGAGCCTTGAAAACACGTACATAATGTCTTCTGTGGCTCAAGTTTGAGAAAATAATCTTTTTTCGGCTTTAGACTGAGACTTTTAGCACAAGTACAAGTAGTACAATCTGAGGATGTAGAGTTTAAAAGACACGGGTACTGACATGGCAGCTTGGATCTAATGAAAGGATGAGTTGCATTATAGGAAATGGTAAGATCCTGTATTTTTGGAACTTAGTCCATAATAAGGAGTAAAAGTCAGGATATCTTGGCCGCTGCTTCAAATATTTTTAAATCTGTCTTTTGTGAGCCTCCAAATTTACAACTGAAAAACGACAACTGATTTGGGAAGTGATGAGAGAGAACACTGAACAAGTGCACATCTTAGAAGAAGGACTTTATTGTATTTTACTTTTCTAATTATGGAATTTGTTAGTTTTACCAAGGCAATTGACTGCTCTCTTTTTTAACTAAAAAAGAAGAATTAGAAATGGCAAATATTGTGATAAGGATGGACATTTTCAGTATAATATTTCAGGCATAATCTCCCAGACTCGGTGTTAGTAATTGTTACATGGTGCTACAATGTGCTAATTCAATATGTGTAGTTACTGGATACACTCAAACAAATTAGGATGAAAGAGAAAAAGCAAGAGCATTTTTTAACAAATAAAAGCCAGTACAACACCTCAGGTGGTTACTAATAACTGAGATGTGTTTCTGATGTTAAAGAGGCAGAGTTGGTCCTAGGCACTGGGAGGAGGTAGCACCAACACTCATGTACCAAACTGACTGGGTAAACAGGACAGGCTGTTAATTAGTGTTCAGCCCTCTTGATGCATTTGGCAACAGATGCCTCTTCTCCCACTAGAGCCACCACTCAAAATGTCACTCAAGTTGCCACAGCTTCATTCGCTATTAGCGAACAAACAGCCTGGGAGAACAGCGTTGCTGGAGAAGCAGCTGCTTTGTCGCCCCTTGACAAACTTTAGTGGGGAACAAGTTTGCTTTTTAAGGAATCCTGTATTCACTCAGTTAGACTGGGGGGTCAAAATAGGTATAGACCGACTCACAGGAAGTTGGCTGTTGATACCATCCTGCCATTTGCCGACTATTTAAGTCTGCATTCTCCTCTCGTTACACTATCTGCGTGTTACTGTTTTCAAAGTTCCCGCCAATACATTAAACAAGTAGAACCACTTTTGGGCTGGCAACCTACACGCTGAAAATGGCAAGTTACCACCAAAACCACTTCCCACCCGACACTTATCTACAAGGGCAGTCCTGCTCAAGATGATTGTTCTTGATTAAAGAAATACAAACAAACCAAAGAAGTGTTTTTTCCCTCTACACCCAAATGATAATGGGTTCAGCCAGACTCTCAGCTATGCGAGATGGATATTTGTACAACCTGGTTGAGCTGACTGGAAGAACAGAAATGTCGTTAATACCGTTAAGGGCAGGATATCCTGTCTGACAGGGTCTGTTCAGGGGCTTCCTTTGTGCCCTTTAAAGGGGCAGTAAAGTCTCACTGGTAGAGGCAGACTGTACTACATCATCACACATTGGTACCTGCACAAGAAAATACACCAGGAAAAAGTAATCCCAAGTCACAGACTGAGGATTATGTGATTAATGCTGGCCCAACACTTGAGAAGGCAGACTCATTTTTACAAGAAACTAACTTCTATAGTGCTGGCCAGACAGAAAAACGACTTCAAACTGCATCATCAGCACTAAAATCTCCAGCACTTTGAAAACTAAACATCAAAGACTTACTGGTTCTACGGCTTATCTGAATGGGCCTGAAGGATGAAAATAAATAAACTACACCTGAAACGCTTTCACAAAAGCACCATTGAGATTTTAACTGATGAGCTTTTCAGGCATCTCAAAAGATTTGAGCGTGGGGTAAACTGAAGCACTGGATCTACCAGGCAGTTTCTCATCACAATGATGAAAATTAAGTGTGTTTAATCTCAAAGTAATTCACTATAATCAGTAGTTAATTTAATCTCTTATTAGTAATTGGAATATAAACGTTACCATCTGCCAAAGAACTAATGATTGATGACGTGTGTCTACTATACCAGCATGTCCTTCGATACTGCTGCCATTTAGATTCAATTCAGCATCAACAGCTGGGTTTTAAACGTGCCTATCGGGGAAATGAACTGAAAGAAACTGTTTTGCATTCTTGCCAAGAGTTAGATGAGAAGATTGATACCCCTCTCGTCATGAGTGCAACACCAACTACAGAGCTAGAGCCAGCAGCCATTTAGCTTAGTATGCAGATGGGAAACAGGGAAACAGCCAACATGGCTCTGTCCAACGGTACCAGCAACTCTAAAGCTCACAAACACGCTAACTGCTTGCTAAGTCTCTATTCTCATCTAACTCTCAGCAGTAACACATTATGTAAATCACTTGGATCAACTGTGTGTAAAGTGTAAAGTGTTAAATAAATAAAGCTAAGTAGAGTTGAATAAGTAGCAATAAGTAAGCAACGCAAGTCTGAAACCTATCTAAGAAGAATGAATACCTCTAAAATATTGATGATTAGCATTGGTAAAGTTATTGATGGGCTTTAGTTTTAGCTAATGTTAGCCACATAACCAACATAACCATGTAACTGTATGTGACAGATAACATTTTAGGTCCAATATGTTTCATTTGTTTCTAATTGGGTAATTGTATCGATTATTATTAGCATTAAAATACTTCACCAAGTTATCGGTAGGTAAAATTCCTTTAGAATATGCCTGTCTCATAATGCTAACTGGCTACTATATAACAGTGAAATGATGTTAGAGTTAGTCACTGCACTGCTTACTCTTAGTGAATACAAAAACAACATACAGATGGATCAGGGAATGGAATAAAGTGGTCTTATTATGTTTCTCTACAGAGTTTCTGGTCTAAAGTATTGGAGCTCTGCAACGCTTCCATTATGCTAATCCACCGCAATCAAAGCAAGCATCTGAAAGGGTTTCAAATGGAACAGGCTAGGAACATAGTGAGAGGTGCTCAATTACAGCAAAATTACGTTCTCAATGTTCCCCCCCTGCTAGGATCACAGAACAGATGCAGGCAAGTGTTCGAGGGTCGGATGTTCTTGTCTTCCCCCGATGTTTTCGAAGTGTTTCATTACAAAATGCTGTCAATCCGACACAGATGGGGTGTACAGGTAGGGCGAGATGCAACAAATTCTCCCTCTCTGCCGAGTAATTCTAGTCATTCATTTGCAAGAGCATATTTTTGTTTGAGAGAAAGAGAGAACAGAAGTCTATTGATCCCACACAGATCAGGAAAAAAAACAAAAACATAACCTTTGGTGAGTGGGTGTGCCAGCGACATTATCAATCAAAGCTTTACAGGCACCATCAGCCTGGAAGATCTCAGGGTCAATTATGTTAGTTGGCAATGTTTCAAAAGATAAATACTACCTGCTGCTATTTTCAACCTTTGGCCAGTATTACTCATCATTTCCATAAGGGATTAAGCATTCGGCAGCTGGGATACACACCAAACAAAAATGTATATAAGAAGACATATGGCAGCACCTGCTTCTAGTGTACATTTTCAGTAATGATGCAGACAGGCTGGATGCAGAAGCCACCCTTAGGTTATTCTCAGCTTTCTGTGGTTATCTGATTTCATAAGTTTGAAATACAGTCTTTAATTGCAGCCAGGGTTTAAGAGACACCTGGTTAAGTTGATTTCTTGGCCATTTATACGCTTAACTAAGTTTCTAAATTAGTTTTTTTTATAAGAACGCAGCTGCCAGACATAGATGTCACACAGAGAAAGTATCTCTGTAACAGTAGTGCAGACGGCTTAAAGTAAGGATCATTATTCACAGTCATCCTTGTTTCCAAAATAATTAGATTAAAAAGTCTGGATAGATCTGTCTGTAGTCAGTATAGTTCATTTCAGGCTTATATCCCTTTGTAACAGACTTGTTTTTAAGCTGATGAAGTGTATAGTAAATAAATCAAACTTGACAGGGATGGAATCCTTACATGTCATTCTGACCTACAGCAAAAGTTAACTCTCTTTTACATTTCCTTATTATAAATGACTTCTGCTAGGAAACAGAGCCAACTTAACTAAGACACGCAGCCCATTCGAACACAAAATGTACCCCAGAAAACACTCCCTGCTATCCCGACTGCAACTGATTAATGAGGTCAATTTGGCATTGTCTTGTCTTATTGGCCAGAGGCCAGATGCTCCCAATTCCCCCAACCAATGATTTATGGAGCTCTGCCTAATCGTAACAAATGGACCAATCCAGATCTAGGATAAATTACCTACTAGCACCTGATTTGTCCATTGTTACGTCTACATTCAATAGGTGAGCTGTGATACAGTTAAAGTTTGAACAAGTAACTAGAACTACAATCTACACTGAATTTGCAATAAACATTATCAACAGTTAACTCCACCCATTGTAAATCTAAGCTGACAAACACACCCGCTAAGAATAACGCACAGCTACTTGTAGTTCAATGTGGGAATATTATTTGTGTGCGACAGGATAATAACAAGAAACCTGAGATATCTACTTCATCATCCTCAGAGGTGTTAATGTAATACGCTGTTTGAGTTGCACAATACACATCCAACTCTTTAGCCTGAAGGTAAGGTGTTGTGAAGAACAATGTGCAGAGGAAAAGAAACACCAAAGTCTTTCTCGTCTCTTGTGCCTGGAAGTGATGCCATTCTGTGGTTTTAACACTCGGCCAAACCACTGTGCACTTGTTTCACCAGCGATATCATCTAACCTAGCGACTCTTAACTGGTTTGTGTGCAAAGGCCCCAGTGTGTTATGAGAAAGACATACCCTATTCAGTAGACAAAGGCCTCATTCAGGTGCCGTGGTATTCTGGATAGCTCCAGGCCTCACCTCACAAACGGGGACTGCAAGGCTAACATTTCACTTTCTCTTAGCCACGGGGAAAAGGTCAATATCCCAGGGGGAGGGCTGGCTCCCCTCTCTTCTCTCCTGCACCGCCACTACTCATCCACCTCAACAAATGTGGTTGACTCCAGTTATAGAGTGATCTCACAGTAGGAGTAATGCACGCACACACAGAGCAATAAAACCCCTACGTCCTACATTCATAATCACAGTAAAATGAGAGCCGAGTGTGTGACCTCTTGCTTTCTGTTAATCTGCTTGATGATATTCCATTAGCAAGCAACGTACTGGATTTTCAGAGCGTCTTTTATGCCTTTTGTCCAACCAAAACATCTCATTCATTGGAGGAAATATAACTGGAACTGTGCGCACAGGAAACTGCATGTCATGTCATAATCATAAAAACTGATTTATACTGCAAGTAGCCTTGTTTTGCAGCTTGACCTTATTTAAAACAACAGATAAGGGAACTTACAGAGGTGATGAAATCTGTTAGAGTCATGTGGAAAAGAAGCGTCATTCTTATTCTTAAGTGTACAGCACAACATACTTTAAGAGTTTTGTATTTTGGATGGATCAGGTGACTTTTTACTTTAGCTTGTTTATTTATTACATAAACTGTTGTAAACTGGGTTTTAAATCCTGCAAACAGGCCATGATTGAGCCAAATGGCCTGTTTTTAAGCTAAAGCATTCTAGTCCTCAAGTGTTGATAGTTGGCACTTTTTGGTAAAAGAGTGTGTTGAGTTTTTGGCGTCCTGCCGACTTACGGAACATGGTGTTGAACTGCTGCGGGTTGAGGTTCCACTTGCCCCAGGGTGTCTTGTGACCTTTGGACTGGGCGTAGTGGGCGTGGTTGAACTCTGGCTCTGTCCCGAACGAATCCAGCACCCGCAGCATACACCTACAATGCCACACAAAGACAAGCATGTTAATGGCTGCTCCATGCCAGAAGGACAGATGCATGTGTGATATGTTGCTTAACTGTATATTTCAATGAAGTTTGCTTTGGATCTTGATTGCTTTGTGAAATCAATGAAACCCAGAAGCACCATCATAAATCATCTCAACAGTACCAGTATTGTTATATTATGTGCTACAAGAAAAACTGTTCACACCTTGTGCACACAATTACAGTTAAATAGCTAGTAAACCACTACATGGTGCTTTTTCCACAATATTCTCCAAACTATCTTCACAGCCCTCCAAGAAACAAGAACGTGGTTACTTAGTTTTACACCCATTTAAACCACACTAGCCTGAAGACCTAGAAAATTAAGTAACCAGTTCCAAGTAAGATAGTAGTGTGAAAAAGCTTAGGGAAATTGCAAAAGAAAACTTTTGAGGTTTTTACAACAGCTAGAGGTGAGATGTGCATGTCATTTTTTGCTGTAGAAGACATGTTATATGGCTTTATTTTCCCAACTGAGGTTTGGTAGCTTGTGATTACATCTGAAAATAGGTTGTTACGTTGGAATGGATAAACAAGATAAGCTTTTGTCAGTTATGTGAGTTATAAGAAACAGAAAATGAAAAGCAGTGCCATGACCTACAAATGAGGCTTGAACTTTTTAGTTGGAACGTTTTGAAATAACAGACAAAAAGGCTTCTTTTGTTTTATGTGTTATGTTTTGCATTATGTCATGTTTCCGTTCTATTTTGTTTCTGTGTAAATATGTTTTACATTAGTTTGCTTGCTTCAGGAATCATGTACAGTACATGGTCTGCAGTAATTATTTGTGTTTAACTTGGAACATTAATGTCCACAACTGGGAGTCTTTAAATGTGTGATGGACCAATATAACGGTAAGAACCTGACAAGAAATTGATCACTTAATTGTTATTCTTTTAAGATCAATGTTGAAGGCATGTGTTTTCAGTTATGACTAGTAAGGAAAGTCAAATACACTATACCAACATAATGTCCTTCACATAAAAACTAAGCAGCTCCATATGTGATGATGAAACCACAAAAGTAACGCCTCCATTCTCAGACTAGGAGCGAAATCCTGTCCTGTGGAGGTGTGAGACTGTGAAAGGACATCATGGCTGACTCAAAGGTCACAGCACCGGCTTAATTAGACCACAACCAGGAGAGGGAACGGTATATAAGCAGAGAACCATTCGCTCATGACCTTAAACTCCATGTGCTCCATTCACTAACTCGCTCATTGTTACTCACTTCTCCTTCCTAGATGCTGATTTGCTCATGTCTGGTCTGCCCTTTCCTTCGCTATCTATATTTTTCCATTAGGAGGGCAAAAGGCCAATGAAAGAAATCTTTTGTCTTGGACACAAAAGGACTAAATCTGCCTCTCCCTCTCACGCTATTAATCCGTTTTTCATATAAACTGCCTCCTTCTAACCCATCTTGACAGCAACAAAATACTAAACTGGTGAGCCTCTTGTTTTGGCCATCTTGAGCCTTGTGGGTAATTAAAATTAAGTGACTCCCACTTTACGTCAAGGTAGAATAGCCGCATTAATCATATAGCAAAAGGAAGAAGCCAGGTGGAAACGGACGAGCACGCATAGAGCAGTCTGCACCTAAAAATGTTCTTTCTTTCAGTGATCATGCCTCCGCCCAGGCAGATGCTGCGCAGCTGGCTGTGTGAACTGTGAAAGTCCCTGGGAGAGAGCGGAGAGCTGGGAAACACATTCACCATGAGAAAACTTTAGACTGAAAGCACAACAACAACAACAACAACATGTCCACATGCCATCTCCACTTTCTCCGCAGAAAAACAACCTTCGTCTGTCCCCAGTAGATATATCCTCAACAGATGGAGGAAGAGTTGTTGGAGCCATAACATGATGTAAATATAGCTGCAGTGGGGCTTTCAGCACATATTCCAAGTCCAGTGAGTTGACAGTGGGCGTCGTAATGTGGCAGGAGTTGAGGCTGTTCAGCTCAACAAGTATGCACTTAGTAACACTGAAATATCACAACAGAGCTGGGCTGAGAAGGGACGCTGAATTCAAAGTAAGTGTAATTTCACTGGAACGTAATCCACCTGAAGTGATCCCAAATGGATAGTGTATGGCTATTGTAAATGATAGGTCTCTCTCCCGCTGTGATCATTTCCCCTGTGAAATCAGCAACAAATATAATGCTTCCATATGGGTCATTATGAAACAATGATATCAGATGGAAATTAATGTTTTATATGAATCTACCTGAGGCTATGTCACATGTCTGCATACCCCTGAGGCTAAACACAACAGCTGTTTGATAAACAGACATATGAGTTAATGGTCTGTCTCATAAAAGCATTAGGTTGAATTATACCCAACATAAGGGTTTGGTTAGAAAAAAACTTTATGGGAACAGCATGGAGCTAGGAAAGATAATATGTTATTGATTTTCTTACTGGGATTGTCATCCAGCTCATAACATCTGATCATTTTTAGATACTTTTGGATTGCAATTCCTCCTTGTAAACCATAAATATCCCCTTTTATTGGCCACGTGTTCTACTTAACAGACTTTAACCTGAATCATGTTGTTGTCTTTTATTAACAAGCAATAAATTAACACCTATAAAACTTTTGATAAGCTTACAGACTACCTTTCTCCTTCCAACATGTGTGTTCACTAAACCCCTCCCCTGAACAGCGACTGTTAAATCGCCTGTGGCAGCATAAGCAACAAACATTAACATAGCTGACTAACTACTTAGGTAAGGGAGTAACTTAGCATTACTTGTAAGGCCAAAAGTTGGCATATCATTCACCAACTACATAGATGTTATTGGAAAAAGGCCCTTCCGGGACTGACACGTCTACTGATTGGAGGGAACTGTCACACCGGCCCCAGATGGTACTTACTATACCAGGGTTTAGAGTTAGCAGCTCTGCCATGCTCTGTATTTGATTTGGGAGAGTTTACTTCAAATAACTTGACAAACTCATAAGATTGGGCTCATCCTCACTTAAGTCCTCACTTAAACTGTAACACTAAGCATTATTCCAAACTTTGTTTCTTAAGTAATTCATTTTGCAAAATTGTACTTGACTGGTGCAGGAACAGTAACTACTGGCAGTGGGGCTAAGTGAAAGGTACCCAAACAGTCATTAAGAAATATTTGCTCTAACATATTACCACTATATGATGTACCAAGTTGTTATCAACAAATGTGACAGACAGACAGACAGACAGACAGACAGACAGACAGACAGACAGACAGACAGACAGACACACACACACACACACACACACGTGTTAAGTTCTTGGCAAGAGAAAGAAAAAAAAACCCCGAAGACACAAAGCGGTAAAGGAGGGAGAAGCAAAATGATGAAATCCTTGTGCAAAGCACGCAGTTGATGACTAACTTTTCATTTGTCCAGTTTCACTTCTGCATTATTGTCATTAATACTAAACATACAAACTGCTTTACACTGGCGCATTCTCTGCAGCCTTGCTGATGCACAGATGCACACAGTGCATTGCCCGATTAGGTTATTGGATAAAAAGATTTAATGAAATAGAACAATAGGGCAACATTGGCTCTAGTTTATACCCAGAAAACAGCTCAGAGTATTCCCATTCCTCTGGAGTAGTATGAAACACAGCGATACGGCACTGTAAGACAGATAGCCAGAAGACTGGGGCAATAACAAAACACATTAATCACAAACAGGCCTGACAGACGTGGTTGCTTTGTCCCAAAACACAAAAAATAAACCAGAAAAAAGGGAACAATAATGACAACAGTTTGATATCCAAACAAGTCTGGCATGTTCTCTCCATAGGATATATTTCTCCCTGCCTTTCTGTATCACAAAGTAAAGAGAAGATTGTGATGGTTTCACAAAGGGATTCTAAGGCCACAAAGGCACAGAAGGTAATTCACTTACAGGAGACAGCAAAGTAGAAGACACTTTGGCAGAAAGGTAAATGTCTATGTTACATTTAGTAAAAGAAGAAAGAGCACAGAAAAACCTTCAGTCTAGGCCCTCTTTCACAAAGCTCTTTGAACGCACACAGTGACATTAAGTGCTCTGACATAAGTGTTCAATAATGGTAGGAGAAATAATGCAGAGAATAGCATCTGGACCTTACATTATGCCTCAGGCTGAATCAATTTCCTCAGGGCACAAAGGGAGCGGATGCAGTTTAAGGTGTTATGTCGCAGACAAACAAAACCTGGTGACAAGCAGGAGGAACCAGCGGGGCTATTAGTGCCCCCAGACTTATTGTTCCTTCTCTTTTCCTGTCAGTTGGAGCTGATGAGAGCTTCTTCAAAACAAACCAAGAGAGCCTCATCTACAGTCCTCAGCGGAGCAATCGGAGACAGAATAGACTCAGTGGGTGAAAACATCATGAACAACAGACGCTACTGCATCCTTTTGGGAAATTGTGGCAACGTATGAGCAGAAAATAGACTCATTGTCCCACCATTAGCCCGACAAGCCTCAACCCTGTGCCCTTTGCACATGAGAGAAGCCGTTAAACAACAGTTGGCAGTGGCAGCAGAAGGTTAGAGAACTGTACAAATCATCAAGTGGCTGACATGATGATTTGAATAAACTGAAAGAGTAAGGTCTTGCTCAAACACAAAAGTTACAGTGCAAGATAATTTACCATCAAAGGCTCAAGCAGAGCTGCTGGTAGAAAACTGTGGTTGTACTAGGAAGCTGCCCAGTGTGAAAGCACGCTGAGGTTATGAAAGAGAGTGCATGCTCAGCAAAAACTCCCTGGATAAATAAAGTTACCAACTAAAAATCTAATTACAGCAGCCACCAAATCCGCATTGTGTTGATTTGGCAGGGTCTACAACTGTCTAACAGCAAGTGGTTTAGTCCCTAATGAAATCAGATCCTTGACAGAATTTACAATCTGAAGATGTTTCTTACCAAATAGACCATGAGAATGGTTTGACTGAAACTACCACATAAAAAAAACCAAAAAAAACAGTAATATTAAGTATCTTTCTATGACACGATATAGCCATGACTAAATAAGCAAATCAAATTTAAAGTTAGGAATAGAAAGATCAAGAGCATAACTTTTTAGTCAAATAAAGGATAAATGTACTTACTGGTAGTGGACCCAGGAAGGTCCCAGTGTCTTCTTAAACTGGGTGAGGCCCACGATGTCAATGTAGATGAGCTCAACCACTTTGTCACCCTGCGTCGGGCAACTGGACTTGTTCCCCATGACTCTGCGCATGATCCTGGGGAGAAAAGTTTGGAATTACAATCAACTTTAAATAAAAAATTCAAAATGTCTGCTGCTGTTGGTTATTTGTTTAGACATACTAGACATACAAAAAGAAGAAATACTGGCATTTCCAACCCCAGACCTGAGGGAATTTGCTGAATCATGATCATACTAACAGTACAGGTTCAAAGCATGTTCCTAATCTGCATGCATGATCACTGGCATAGCTTAACAAGAGATACCAATCTACAAAGCTACAGAGCAGTGGAAACATATCTGTACAGAGGTGGGTTGAACATTATGTAATAAGATGTGTGCTTGTGCTAATACTTATAAGCCATGACCTTATATAATGAACTTATATATTTACTTACTGTGCATTTGTGCTTAATCAAGGAGCCAAAGATAAATATCATCCTTCACATAGTGAGGATGGTGAAGGCAGCTAAGGCCATGTCAAACAGTATGCACCCAGTAGAGGAGGTGAGTTAGCAGGCCAAAATCCCCCAACAAATATTAGACAGGAGCTTTCATTATTTACCCTCAGTCAAACCACCTTAAGCAAATAGTGAGACGTGGTTTACCTATATAAAAGTTTGCTAAACAAAAAGGTGCTTTGACTTTTGAGGCCTATACATTTATAGCTCAATTTGCATCATACAGCACAAACAACAAAAACACAATGCAAAACTCTTCCATGTAGTCAAGCTTTCCTTCCATACAGATTATTTTCTGTATCTGACCTAAGGCATCTGTTGTACAGACGTACATCTGGACACACAAAAATCATTAATATTGACTCAGGCTGTGTTTGGCTGACTTAGCATTGCACTCCTATAATGTCGTCAGACTCAAAGACTGCTGGAAAAAAACAAAATCTAAATCGATGCAGCAGGGATGAGGAGTCAGCTTCAGAGCTCTGGTAAGCTCACTCCTTCACAACTGTACACCCCCAGATTCTCAACCTCAACTGCCTCAAGTCACATCACTTTAGGCTATTTATCAGACTAACTTACACATGACCTTTGTCAACTTTGACAAACACTAAGGAAAGTTGGAACTTTTGAAATACATATCATATCATATATTATCTCCTGCAGTCCCAGTCCTGGGGGAGTTGTATGACAGCTACATTGTCTTAATATATAGTCGAAGTGAACCTAAATTGTCCATTTGGGTGCACTTAAGGAATATGATACTCCTTGTGTTTGCTACTTACTCTTTGAGCTCGGCCAGGGAGGCTGAGATGCGAACATCATGGCCCAGCAGGTACAGGGTGGTTATGAGGTCACTCCATTGGACCAACTCGCCCAATGGGCCACCACTGAAGGCGTTTTCTGCTATTTTGAAGCCAGACTCCTTGGTCAGCAGGCCCAAGTGCACCAGGATCTGATGAGAGGGAAACAAGTATGAAACACTTGATATGAATGGTGCTCATTTGATACGAGTTTCTATGGGAAGACATATTGTTGGGCAAGGCTAGTGCAACAGAAGTTAGCTTGAAAAACGCTACATTGTGTGAATATATAATGTAATACATCTGTGACATCTGTGCAATTTTATTTTCCTGCACAGATGAATGTAAAGAAAGATGGCAGAAATATGGTGGGATAAATAATTCAAAGACACCCCATTGTCTTCCTATTTGAAAAGATTCAAATGGGGAGCGTTAAAAACATATTTATCTTAGTAGGAGACTGCAAAAGCAGTTTCACTTTTTCCCCTGTATCCTGTCAGGCTCACAGTTCACATGCTGAGAAAAACACACGCAACTTAACACACACACACACACACACACACACACACACACACACACTTTCAGTAGCTGAGGGGAACACAGTGTTCCACAGCAGGAGTGGGAAGTAATAGCAGGCTTTGTTTGAAGTGACCGACATATTTTTCATTGTTGACAGCCAGCCCCAGTCCCAGAGCACACTAGTCAAGGATTAATATGTGCGGATTAATATTCGTGCGGATTAATATTCAAACAGATTAGTGGCTGAAATAAAGAACTGGCTTTGGAAGTATGTGGACTAAGAGAGAAAAACGCTCTTTGTTTAATTATTGACTGAACAGATTAAACTGAGAAACGGGAAAGTAAGCAAGGATAGGTAAGACACCATAGATGGATAAGAGGGAAGAATAGCTAGATGAGGGCTCTTGTTTCTTCTATTCTCTGCTTTGCTAAAGGGGATGCTGCTTTGCATCAGCACCAAGGTATCATGGGAATGTGATGTGAATTATTCACAAGGCCAGTGGAAAGTGTGGAGGTAGTACATTATTCAGTGCTGGGAGCTGCTACCAACTTGGGACACAATGGAATATCCATGTCGGTCCCTTCCCACCACCATTTTTCCCCCCAGCAGCAGCCTACAAGTGTGAAAAAGTGTGTATGAGACTGTGTGTGTAAAGCTGGTGTATGCATTTCAACAGGCTGAAAGCTAAAGGGAGGTGTTTTCATAAAGTTCTTGACAGGATTATCTTTCTCTCACTTTTAGGAGGACAAACATTAAATTTAATAATAGCTTTATTAATATTTATTTGTTTTGAATAAGTGTGAAAGTAGGAGTTCCATTATCCCAAATAAGTTATCTAAATTTGGAATTATGCTCATATCTACGGCTAGTTATTGTATTAATGTGTCAATTTTATATGGAATTCGGTCAAAAACTGATCTATTAATTACACCTTCAGTATATAAAAAAACTTTTCATTCTAAAATCTGTCTAGTCTTTCCTGAAAAAAAAATGCTCTGGCGTACTGGAAGTGACAAATTTAATCTGATGTTTCAGGAAGCAAGAACAATTTGTTTGGAATAAATTGCAAAACATGAACACAACGTGAAACTTAAGGGGAAAAGAACAATAAGATGCGTAGTGATCTGTGATGAGCAGCATCTAAAGATTCTGCCACCAGAAATGTCAACAAAATGCCACCCAGCATTGTAGCTAGAAGATCATCCCTTCACCTGACTGACAGTGAATCTCACTTCATTACTCCTGTGTACTTTGATGTATCATATGTATTATGCCCACCTTCTTCCTGCGACGCCGGGCTAGGTTCTGCTTGGCAGCCAGAGAGCGGATGGCGCTGACCCACGGCTCAGCCATGCGTTTGATCCTCAGCATCATCCATCGGAACTCCTCACGTTGTGACATCACGCGGTAAAGCTCCTCGAAGCTGGTCTGGATCTCCGCCTGCACACACCGAGACAGTCAGTAGGGTCCAATACAGTTAGTGTATACTGTACAGTATATGTTCCTTCATGCGTACGCCACATAATGTGTTAGGAGGAAGCCATTTATTTCAAAGCTGTAAATCAAATCTAATCTAACAGTATGTTCAATTTGTTATGCTGTTGCTTGCTGTATTATCTTTTAAAAAAAATGTGTTTCTTTCAAGTGCTTTTATCCTTCTTACTGCTGCTGCCGTGACATAATCCCATGGGGATCTTTCAAAATGTATCCAATCTAATTTAACATTGCAATATTGACGACTGCACTTTCCAAATGGCTAATGGGCTGTTTTCTCGGAGGGAGACCCTTCTGGAAGAGCTGTATTAAGCCCCTGCTCAAAGTCAAACACTGCAAGGTGTTTATCTAAACTGCCTAAATCTTATCTTTTACCACCTTAGTTTAAGATTGTGGATTAAATAGCCAGAGATAGGAGAGCAGGGATGGGTTAAAGTAAAATTATTAGATGAATGAATGTTCATTTTTGACAAGAAATCTCTCTATAATCACTGAAGCTGGAGTTCAAGTGATAATTGAAGTGATAATAACCATCATAAACTGTCAGAGACATGTGCAGAGGAAATTATACATTGAGGGCACACAGATATATGACAACGTATGTTTGAGATCTCTCCCGAGAGCAAGACATCAAAGAAACTGTAGCATAAAAAAAAAACTGACAATTCAGAAAGGCACCGTATTTATCGTGACAAGAAGAGTGCCTCTGTGTTAAGAGCTAATGTGAACTCTGGCTGTATCGTGAGAGTAGCGAATACATCAGTGACACTTTTAATAGCTTATTTATATGCAAGAGGAGAGAAAAGGAAAAGAAAGAAACTGAGGAGAAGATAACAGAACAGGAGAGGAGAGGAAGAGAATTCAAATAAAATAATTAATAAATATCATATGAATAACAGTAGGATACAACAACAGACATTATGTCCAAATGTATATTATCAAATAAGATGTCATGAAAAAACAAATCCAGTTGTAAACATCTGTCTGTTTTGTAAAACCCACCCTGTGTTGTAAGAGTGGCAACTAAAGGGAAGTATATGTGCAATACAAAATACAGAAATGAAACTGAAGCTGCTGCAGGCCACATTTTCAGGATTTGTTGAGTCACACTGCACTATAATATAACTCATTTAAATACAGCACAGAGCACTTAAAGTGAACATTTTAATACTTTTAATTCACATGTTTCAGATATTGAAACTCAAGGAGTCATGGACTGCCTGAAGAGAAGAAAGAGAAGCAGGGAATGAGACAGAGCGAGTGAGAGGAAGACGGAGCAGGCAAAGGAGAAACCACAGTGCCATTACCAGCTGCTAAGGTGGCTGAAACAAGGCTGTTGCCGGGCATTAGCATCCCTCATCACGACAGGAAATCACTTCAGCAGACTGAACCTATTAAAATCTGGGCCTGAATTAAAATCTCCAAAAGCCTGTCAAATGGCATCTCCCCACCACCGAGGGCTCAGTGCTGTTGATGCATCCAGAGAGGGGATGAAGAGTGCTTAATATTGATTCACCCGCAGCAGAAGGGGAAGGGGGTGTGTGTTTTTCGAGGAGCGCTGATACCGTGGACTGTGCGCGAGCCTATCGGCCTGGAGAAGCGCTCTAAGTGGGATTTGAGTGAGCCGCCGCGTTGGCAGGGATAGAAGATCATTATTCCAGATTTGTCCCAAGGTCCCGTCACTCCGGCTTTGGTCTGCGTGAACTGCCTCGACTCTTTTATGCCATCGAGGCATGTTGACACTGTGGATCAGCCTCAGTCTGCTTGCTCATTTGCTGTCTCGTTTTAAAATATCATCATACGCAGTGCATGGGAGATTACCTCTCGCACTTTACTGCCAATTTGGTATATTTTAAACAATCAAATATTAAAAACTACACTCATGTGTGTGAGTGTTTCTTAAACTTAAATACCCCATCAAATGGCATCGAGTGTCATTTTCTTTGGTGGTGCCTCAACATTACACAGGATGATGGAGTGGGATTTAATGTCGACAGGGACTCCGTTTAAAAATGTATGCTAATGGAAAAAACTTGCTGTCACAAAGTCTGGAGTTGTCACACACACAAGCCTCTTTAAAATTAATACATTTAAGCCACTTGGACCACAAGCGTTGACACTTGAAATGTTATCTTCCCAGTAACATTTTTTTTCTAGCAATAATGCTGCCACCTTTAAGAAAAAGCTACGTCAAAAGGGGTTTTATTTTGTTGATTTGGACATTAAGTAGGTACACTTACAAGATGGGAGCAACTGCAAGAATCAGAAAAAAAGTTTCTTTTAACAACAGTGTGAATAGACCATTATCAGTCTTGGTACAAGCAATGTCTTGTGATGAAAGCCCTCGAAAAAAGAGCAGCTGAAATACTGTAAGTGTCTGTTGTGCTTTTAGTTTACAGTTTACAGGAGCTCTTTGCTGTGTTTCTCACCTGTCCCCTCCTGTCTATTTCCTCAGTCAGGGTCTTTGTCCTCCAGGGCAGGCGAGGACACCAGTTCTCCACCTATCAAATAAAGAACAAAAATAAATAAATAAATAAATAAATAAATAAATAAATGAGCCGTTTACCACACACATAAGCACAACAAAGAGGTGTGCACTTAAGAACACACATACATAACACATAAGTCAGCTAATGCATGTTTGGTAACGGTTCAAAGTGACAACAATAATAACTTTATCTGTATAGCATTTACTCTTAAACAAGGTTAAGATTGAAGAGAAAACACATTTGGCACTGCAAGAGTGTATTTATCCTGCAAGAAGGTGGCGATATGTGAGGAAATGTTAGTTACAGAACCCAAAGAGCAAGAAAAAGAGCAGTGATTCAATAAGTTATAAAAAGCCAAAGCCTAAATCAGGGGTCAGCAACATTTTAGAATCAAAGGATCCATTTGAAGAGATTAGAGCAGCCCATCTGCAATGCTTCACTAGAGAGTCTATATTTTTACCGCAAGCATCTCCTAGCAAAAGACCAGAGTGAAAGAATCCATTGGTAGTCATATCCAGTCCAGTTTAAACGTCCTTTTCAAAATAAAAGCACTGTAGTCTCTTATCTTATATTTAACACAACTTCACTTCACAAGTGAATTCTACTCATGCAGGGGGGCTATTGAGAGAAAAGAAAACCATGTGAAAATCAAAACAACTGTCACATTGCTGCCGTTTTGTTCCTGCTGAACAGAGAGCTCCTTTAAAGTAGTTTATAATTCATCTTTTAATTGGCTGCAATATTGTCATTGTCTGATCTCTCGCTGTGTCTCTGTCGCTCTCGTCTCTCTCTCTCTTTGTTTCAACCTGGCTACAGTCTCACTCCAACTGTGTGTGTCTTATGAAACAGCACTGTAGATTTCCTTAGTAAATATCCACTGTAGACCTCTGGAAGCAAACACAGATGATGCTGGCCATGGTGACCTAGTGTAAATGCTTATTCCTCCGAACAGCTCCGTGCCAGAATGGTCGTAATACATTCCCAGACGAGACAAAGGTGGAACACGCTCATATAGCCAGAGGAGACATCATTAGGTTGATCATTTGTTTGATGTCAAACAGATACCGCGCTGTCACTGTTGACATTGGCTCTTCTTCTTACTTGATTTAAATTAAAGTGACCCTCAATGTTTTCTCAACTTCTACTTCTCCGTCCCACCAATTCCTTCCTCTTGTTCCGAGCGCACAATTGCTGTTTGATCACAGAGAGGCTTATGGAGAAGTGAAGTGTGAGTTTTCGCCCACCTCAGCAACAAGAGACAAAAGGATTGCGCTGTAAAAGCTACCAGAGACATGGTGGATGCGTTTATTCTCCTTCCCAAACCACACACACACCATGCTAGTTGAGCCCTGACCTTCTACAGCTGACATCCATCATGATATGTTGCCCTCTCTGGTTTGCCCCTTTGCAAGGTTAATGCAGTGGTCGGCGAGTATGAATTATACATGGAAAAAGGTGTGTATCTGAGTGTGTGTGTGTCTCTCTTTAACACACAGGCCCGATCGCAGCGGTTACTAAATGGAAATGCATGATTATTGCCATGGTAACCGTACGATCACATGACCAGGAGCCGAGGCTGAGGGCTGTCTGGGATTAGCGGGATGGAGACATACAGAGAGAAGATACATCTGTTTTGAATCTTTACTATTCTTTACAGCCAATATGTTTCTGTTTGTTTCCTGTTTCATAAGCTCTTGATGGACATGAACAGTAACAGCAGGAAAGAAAGAGGTTTCTCCCCTCCTAATGGATTCTGCTGTTGTCCATCTCACTTCTATTTCCAAACAGGGCAGCCTTTCTGTGCTCCTTCTTAGTTCACTGCATGCTTTCAGCTCATATACAATATTCATAACAGGCTACTGACCTTTACTGAGCCGAAGCCACAACAAAAATCTTACTTCTCTAAACACAAAAAAACAAGGAAGAGCTCTCCGACAGGAAATGTTCAATCTCACTTGATGAAACATCTTATTAACATTGACGTTTCTCCAGTAGAAGAGAACGGGAACGAGAAACACGCTAAAGAATCGATATCAAGCAGAATAGTAATCATGGCTATGATCTGTGAAGGATCTTTGAAATGATCAATCACAGTCGAGTCTCATGGGAAGCAGAGATGTTTTCTGGATCTGAGAATACGAGCGTTTAAAGACTGCAGATGGTGATGGGAAACGTGTAATATCATCAGATCGGATTTTAGTCTAGTCTCAGGGATGAATCAAAGCCATTACAGAGAAACTCAAAGGACAATATTAAAACCTTTCCTCCAAACTGGATTCATTTCTATATCCGACTTTCATTAGAATTAACGAAAAGATTTATTTCTCCACTCGAAATGAATTGTGGCCATGTTGGTTGGTTTGGCAAAGACAAATCATGCAAAATTGAAAGTCTTAAAGTGTCCCTTGAAGGAACACAAGCTTCTATATGTTAGTGCTCGTCAATAATGCATGATTCCTCCATGCTGGTCTGGCTGCTTTCTCCCCTTTGCCAAGGATATGTAGAGAATAAGGCAGGGAAGCAAAGTCATTCCACGTCTTCCCTTGGAGGCTGAAAACTCATCTCTTCAAGAAGTACCTCGCGCCACCCCTCCTCTCCTTCCCTTACCACTGAATCATCTCCTCTTTCTCCCACACCGTCCTCCTCAACACACTCTAATTTGTTCTCATTAAAAATGAAATCCCCTCTACCTCTCTTATTATCTTATTTTTAGCGCTTCATTCTTGTGTGATCATTCTCAGGTTACAGTTGAGGCGCTCTGGCTCTTAACCATTCATTTTTCTAGGTTGTCTGTGCTGGCATGTTGCAGAAATCCCAGTTCAATCTACTCGTGTACTCACTGTAAACTAGGACTAACAGGGGCTAAATTATTCAAAGGTTAAATGCAAATGTTCCTGATAGAGCTCCACTGATATGGCATACTCAAAAGATTGGTAGAGATGTTTTTGGCTGAAGTTAATGGGATAAGTCTGATCTTCTCTATTTTTCTTACTCTCAACAAATCCCATGAAAACACCAAAAGTATTATGAGAATGATTTAAACATCACTTGCCAGATGTGGAAAAGTTGGTGTGCGATAAAGTGCAATGGAAACAGCTGTAGTAAATAAATCATGAAGCATGTGACTTAAATATCGCCAGAGAGAAGATTGTATGTAGACTGATTAGAAGTCTTCAATTAAATACATTCAATTAACATAAATGCCACATTTCCATCATGTTTTCCATCGTTTGAGGTTTGACTGGCACTAATCTTGTTGCGCCGTGTTTCTTTAATCATTTAACGAAATCTGACTGTGGAATTACTGCATTCATGTGCATTTTCTTTTGAAGATTGTATGGAAATTGAGTTACACTAGATTTGATTGGAAACTTCATGAAGAACAGTCTCAAACCATCTAATAATGTAATGGTGAATACAGAAGTGTTACTAACATCCACATGTATGCAGTCCATGTTGAGTTTGTTCCATGGAAGAGGTACTTATTGATGCTGATCAGTTGACCCAGCTTGGTGAAAAATGTCAAAGATGTAGGAAAATACACCCACTGGTTGACTTTTTTGTCTTTTTGGGCACATACATACTTGTGAGTTAGACACCTTCATTAACTACTGATGAAGAAAATCCACTTTTAGCAGACTTACTGACCAAGTAATATCAGAGAGCCAGTTCCTTTGTCTCCAAAGGGCACATCACATTCGGTCTGATCACTACCTTTCGCCTCATTTCCCTTTGACTCTGATGTTAATCATGTAACGTCTGCTGACTGTCTGATCAATGGCTATCATTTACATACTGTTTGGTGTATTGGTCTAGGGTATAAAAGTACCTCATTTAATTTGCTCTGGGTCAGCTTACTGACTCAGATCTGCTCTGTGTATGCAAGTTCACCAGGATGCCGGCATGCTTTAATAAACTCGCACCACCACAGCAAACCTGAACTGAACTTGATTGATTTTTATTAAACACACAAATACATATTTACAATGAACACACACACACACACACACACACACACACACACACACACAGACGGCTCACCTCGCTGAGGTAGATGAAGAAGGAGCAGGTGGATCCATCCACGCCGTAGTTGCCATAGCAAGAGTCAGAGCGCCACATCTCCTTCATCCACTGAGGAAGAGGAGGAAAAGGAGAGATTAAATCCACAAGTACAGTGTCACCAAAATCACCCCTCCACTCAGCCAAACTGCAATATAGTAAAATATATGAGTCCACTGTGGGTTTTATCAGTGGCTGTAAAGTAACTCTACTCTGGCATTCACATTGACAGCCAAACTTTCATTTAGAGCTTTTTTTCATTCGAATAATGGAGCTCTTTGGATGTGTACAAAAAACAGTCAGGTTGAGGCTGCAATATACCAGCGACTGTAGTGTGTGGGCATGTTGTGATGCTGAGAGAATACATAATGCACAAAATCTAAAGCATTAGCTCGCTATCTAGCTTTCATCATCCTCGTGGAAATAATCCAGGCTGTTTTCATAGCTCAGGAGGTTAGAGAAACGGGATCAAAAGCCATTGGCTTCAATCCCTGGAATAAAATGGAAAATCTGGGGTTTGAAATAAAAGAGATAATTTCCCTTTCATCAAATACATGTGCAAGTCATCTAGCTGAACTGCTCAGCGGCCAAGAGGAAAAGAGTGATGTTGTTCTGGAGTAGCTCTCGTGTATGGAAATAAATCAATGTGAAAATGGCATTCTTGACTAAGACGGAAGAACATGAATCTTCATTAAATCTTCCCAAATGATAAGATAGAGGAAGGAGGTGCAGCAGCGTTTGGACATGGACCTTGAAAGGAAAATGTTCCTCTATCTGCTCTCTTCCGATCTGATCCCTAGCAGGCAGATTTCTGTGGCACTATTGTGAATGACATGCTGGGATGCAAAGTGAAGGGCTGTTGAGCTAAGATGTGGACTGACAGCTATCCCGCTTAGTTCATAGGCTTGAGTACATCATGCATGCTGACTTACAGTAACCTGAGGGAGCAGTGCACAGGGAAATATAAAATTGAGTTTTCATAGACGGGAGACCTGGCAGATGGGCTTGGATCAGAGTCACTTGGATGGTGAAGGCATGAAGATTGCACTATATTTGTTTAAACGACAACATAAGAGCTCTATAAACTGAGAAAATGGATTTGTCAGATGTTACAAACTGTGTACCCATAATAAAAATGTGCTGTGGAAAACCAGTTTAGTGATTTTTGATGCCTTTGTGAAAACAGGCTTGTGTACAGTATTTGTGTATGTGCGTGTGGGCTGGCATGTGTGAGTGTGAGTGCGTGCGTGTGTGTGTAGAGCAAGCTTTGGCATCGCCTGGCACCCAGTTGGAAATGCTGACAGTATCAGTGGAGGATTGGGACTGGCTGAGCAGATGGTGTGTATGATAGGGCTCCATCAGCTCCAGGGAGACTCGCACACATGCAAAAACAGAAACACTGGACTGAAAATGTGCATACATCTGTTTATGTGTGTGTGTGTTATTTGTGTGTATGCACCTGTATTTGTGTGTGGGCTCACTGGAGCCCTGTTGTTTCTAAAAGTGGAATTAAACCTGTCTGATGGTAGATTTTCCCACACAGATTTTGTATGAGGCTGCATGGGAGTTTGTATTTGTACTGTGTTTTTAGCAGAAGTTGATCAATGAAACCAGAGCTAGAAGGTGAGTGGTCATAAATCAGTCTGGTGATACGCTGGATGCATAATTAGGTAATTATTTGCCAACAGGTGTGAAGACTGCCACTACTGATAATTTCCAGTATTTCTTTTAGGCGAAAGAATAAATATGAGTCCAATTAAAGAGTTTTCAACCTCTAGTAGTTCTGAGGAGCAACGTTTCTGTGACATTTGTTTGTATCTCATGTACATCTACAAGGAAGCACATGCATGCACATGAAATACACTTTCCTGCCACCAGTTTCATTCAGTTGGTGGCAGTAATGAGCCTAAAAAATAGCAATGTGCCAGGCAGGGAAGAATAAGACTGCTAGCTAACAAAAATGTATATAAACAAGCAGCTTTGCAAATGTTTTATGAGGAAGGAAATGCTTTTGTTTGTTTATAAGACATCTCCACAGGGTACCTTTAAGTAGACTGAGACCCTAATACAATATTAGATTATATTTAGTTGTTTACTTTAATAAGATAAAGTAATTAAAATCACCCTCAAAAAAAATGCCAAACAAAAGCCAGTTTCTGTAACCTCTGCTGTAAAGAAACAGTCAGTTAACAAGTAATGTCTCAATTGCGTTTGCTAACATTAGCTGTAACACAACCCTGAGTGTAATGATGAGAGCAAGGCTGGGATTAATTGCTCATGAATTCGAATTTTCATTTGTATTAAAAGGATTTAGGTTTGATTTAGGAATTTTTTAAGGATATTTGCATATCTGCTATATGGTCAGAACTACCATACCACTGGTTTATTTCAGAAGTCTACAGAATTCTGCTTTCTGTCTTGATAAATATCAAGCTGTAGTACACTTAACAAACCAATAGTGTGCACCACTGTCTTGAAAATTCCTTCATATCACATCAGCAAAATATATTATACCTCTCCGTGTAGAGGCTACCCTCCTAATGCTCAAATGTTATGGTGGTAAACAGACTCACTATACTGGTTTCCAAAGATATCATTTGTACTTCAGTTAATAGTCAAATAGTGTGGTTGCTCAGGTTACCTATCTAGTTCTCCCTTTACTCATTAAAAACTGATCTGTACAAAACTGTTCTAATCACAGATATGAAAACAGTGTGAACGACACACACAGAGATAGAAAGACTTTCTTTATGTGTGTTTGTACAGTATGTGTGATTCACCTTGACTTTGCCCTCGCAGTGAGGGAAACCTTCCAAAGGCGGCAGCTCACACTTCTCCTGGGCTCCATTTAGGAGGTCTGAAGGAAGAGACAGAGAGAGAGAGACAGACAGACAGAGAGAGAGAGACAGAGAGAGAAAATCAATAAGGTTAAGTCAGTCGGCTTCAAAATTCTTTAACTGTCTGTAGCTTTAACAGGATGTATGATCTTCACACTGGAGGTGAGGCAGATGCAAACACACATTTTCACATTTCTGCTCTGCACAAAAAGCCCTTCCCTTCAGAGGTTTGAATAGGCAGGAAAAACAATCTGTGTGTTTGTCTGTGTGGAGGTGGAGAAAGGAGTTTAGTAACTGGCTCTGTATATATTATATGTGTGACTTTCAGAGAACTCCTGCCGTTGCGAGGTTAGCGTTAGAGACAACTGTGAGCCAATCAGCTGCCATCACCAGTGACAAGACATTCAGTAGGCCTGTGGGTAACTACAAGAACTACAAGAAGCTCTGTGTAAGTGTGTTGGATGATCTTTCAATCATGAACTGCAGCCACTACAGCTGTGTCACACATTTATCCTTCCAGCCTCAACCATGTTCCCAAGATTTCTTGATTCCCCATTGTTGACCAATTCACTGCTTTCATGATTAACTAAAGTTATAACCCTTAACATTTGTATAGCCATGAAATACATTTACATTCTGCAATTACCTCTCTATATACGAGTTTTTATGGTTAGTGGTGGAGTCCGGCATTCACACAAGTGGTTAAAATTTCCTCCTCCATTCACAAGAAACATTAAAAGCTTTTGTTGTGAAGCAGTCACAGGAAATCCATTGTATTTGTCAGCGAGGTTAGTGCTGACAGTGATCGTTAATTTTTGGGCAGCAAAGCATTTTTAAGTATTGCAGGGAATAATGGAACAAGAATGAGCAGCCGCAGCGAGCTGTGAGACAAAGAGTTGGATTGTTAACATTAGTTAATCAACACCTTGTTTGGACTGGACATTGATGTCTAACTGATCGGGATTTCTTAAAAAGTCGAAATTTCTCCTGCCCTTTTCAGTGTTATCACAGCTCAATAGATTTCTTTAGAACAGATAGGAACCTCCAAACATACGGAGTGGCAGCTTGCCAAAGTAGCTTGTACATAAGCAGCTCGTAGAAGAAATTGCCTCCCCTGGCCAAGACATAGGGTCATTTGGCTGTTCGATGGTGTCAATTTTCCGTCCGGCTCAATAGACAGATACACCAGCAGAGAGATGACATGGCATTTTAATACTGTTTTTCTAAAACAAAGGTGACAGCATCTGTTTGATGACTCAACACTTTCTTTCTCGTGGGTAGCGATTTAAAAGTGAGAACTTCCTTATGTGTCTCCTCTTGTGAAATAACACAAAGAGGCCTAACAAAGGTGTCAGATAGAACAGAGCAACATAGAATAGGATATTGTACAAGAAGAAACCCAATATGCAAACCAGCTGACAACCAGCATGGCTATGGGGAGAGGCTAATGAGGGTGTGGCACAATGTGAAGTTCATCTAAAGGCTACAAAATATCAAAAAAGATAATAAAATTGTAGTGTAAGTCAGATTTTAAAGTGACATCACCGATGCTACATCCTTGTTGTTTTAAGCAATGCTAGCAGTGTGGCTCTAGGGATTGCAACGTTGGTCAGTCAGTCCACCGCCTCCCTTTCTGTTCCTGACTGAAATATCTCACTACTGTAACTATTGGATGCATTTCCATAAAGCTGCCCAGAGTATGAATCCTACTGACTATGGTGATCCCTGACCTTTAATGTACTGCCAGCAGATCAAGGGTTTCACTAGCATCTACTTGAGGTAAACATTGTACATACACCAATGACTTTGATGATCTTTGGACTTAATGTTTAGTGCCAATTACAGTAGCAAATGTTAACAAGCTAATCAAAGATTTTAGGTTATGATTATACCTGGTAACCTTTTGCATGTCATCATGTCTGTCATCGTGAGTTTGTTAGCATGCTGACATTAGCATTAAGCTCAAAGAACCACTGTGGATAAGTACAGCCTCACAGAGCTGCTAGCATGGCAGGGGAACAGGCGATACAATCTCAGCACTTCAGGCCAGTTGCATCTTTGTGAGTCTTGAAATGACAGCTGGAGACTGCCCATTACTCTGTGGTCAGGGATGACTGTCAGCCAACAGGATCACCTATGGCTTGGGAACCTGAACTCCATACCAGCGGAAACCACAGAGAGCTAAGAGCTGGGTCAGTCAAGTCCACAATGACGCAAACGAAGGTTGAGAAGCATTTAATTGTTTTCTACAATAAACACAACGCACGCAACTGTCGTGAGAGAGGGGGAGTCTCATATCTTTTCCACATTGCTTTTAATATGACCACAGGAATAACATCCATGGTTTGCACACCCATGTAATCACCTTTTTGATATCCCCATTCAGAGATGTTAACGTCATCACCACTGACCTTTATAGCCAGAATATAAATAATGCATTACGGTAGACTGTGAGGTGAATAGATAAAAGCTTAGAGGCAAACACCAGACTGATGTAATGAGTTTGTCAGTGGTGTTTTAGGAGGAGGGTGTGTATTTATGGAGGTGTGTGTATGAAGCTAATCAGCGGCTCCAGCACTGGGTCAGGCTGACGGGTGGATGGGGGTGGAGGGTGGAGCAGAGACGGCTCCATGATGTTCACTGTTGATTCACTTTATTTTCACCAACAAGCTGATGCAGTTCACAGATATTCTACTGGTAATGTCTTTTTTTTCCTCCCTCCCTCTTCCTGTGCAGCTCCTATCACCTCGATTATTGTGAAAAACATGTTTCACTGACGCACTCTGGCTTGCTCCCTCAGCAGTGTGTACCAGGGAAGAAAGAGCCAGTGCCACAGAGTACTGCAACAAAACACATCACCAGTAAGATGGAAAGCCACCAACAATTTTCCATCCACGGCTGCAGTCACCATCTAGGGAAGGAAAGGAGGGGATATGGAGTCTGGTTGTATAAGGTTTGAGCCACAGCTTGACATTGGGAGAATGAATCCCATAAAACACCTTTCATTATGACCTCTCTGCATCTATAAAATTTAGTGCACATTCAATGATGTTTGCAAGCTCCTCATGTTTAGATTTTGTCATCTTTAGTCAATTAAATTTAGGTAGGTTAGCCAATCTATAATTAAAAACTGTTGGCTGATATCTAATAAATGTATTGCAAGCCGGTGTAGGTCTCACCAACGATGTTTGTTAAATGCCACTCATCTGCATTATCTTGACATTTAAAACTATTGTGTGGATTGCGTATTTTTGCTGTTGAGGTGTCGTTCTGTCAATAAACGAGGAATGCACGTATCTAATACTGTGCTCATGTACACATAATGGTAATCATAATACTACTCCCTTATTTGGTCTTTAGTATCTTAATCACCTTAATCAGGATCTGAGGAACAATCACAGCTGAGCAGCAGCTCTTAATGTCAGTCTCTAAAACAATGATTAAATAATGTAACATTAGCAAATATAACTACTACCTTTTAGCTCAGCAGGCACAGAGGGGACTGAGAGCTGTTAAGGGGGGATATTTACATGATATCTGATTTGAATACTTTGTTACTGTAGTCAATGTATAATCATTTCCATCTGTAAAAAATTAAGAAATGTAGGAAAGAGGAAGTACACACACACTCAGATTTTTATCAAACAGATGACAAGTACATAAGACAACGCTGTTTGGTTTCCATATAAGTAATAAGCCAACTAGTAACACCTATTTTGAACTGCTGGGCTCGACAACGTGAACACTGTGTGTGAATGTGAGTAATTGGGTTGCATGCATCTGTGATTGCCTCCGTTATGACACCCCGGTTGTCAAAATTTGCTAAGCTCTGATGGTGAAAACTCAAAAATAGGAAGCAGCTACACTTTTTTTAGCTGGTGCTCATATTCAATCACAGATATTTAAGCAGATCACATTTAAGTATCGGACTCTGTATTGGAGCCACAAAGTTAACACTGAGCTGTAAACATGTTACATGTGGTGTGCATATACACACTTTACTCCATTACAAATACATAAATTTTGCATCATACCTGTGGCCCCTGTCTAGTACTTTCACAGTCACGTCTATTTACACATACTCAAGCTCTGCTTGTCCCATCTAGTTCGTTTTGTCATTTGTTTTTATAACCCTTGTGCCCTCCATCTTTCTGTAAATCACACTGTGGCGATTTTGTTTATTGAAAGTGCTGCCTAAAGAAACCTGACGTGTGATTTCTTGTTTAGTAAAGTGGCTGTCTTGTGCAGCATGCAAGAGCCACAAAGCGCAGAGTGAGACGCTGTTTTCTCATCCTTCAGACGCCCAGTCATCCAGTCAGTCCGCCAACCGACCAACCAACCGACCAACCAACCGACCAACCAACCGACCAACCAACCAACCAACCAACCAACCAACCGGGCAGCCTGTCATTCACACTGTCATTCAGCCAGTCAGCCAGCAAGCGCCAAAGCCACCAGGCAAATCTTCTCCTAGCTTTAATCAAGCAGAAGAAGCTGCTGCCAAGGAGCGGCTAAATATAGCCCCCTTCATAATCAAACACAGCAGAGGTGGTGCTGTTTCAAAAAGAGCCGGATTCCTTGTCGTTCATCTCAATGGACATCAAATTAGCCAAACTCTTCATCTGCCTCTTTCATTTCATATCCATTTTCATTCAGTTTAGACAAAGTAACTTGTCCAATCACTGGCTGCTACGTATTCAAGCTGAGCAACACATGGTTAAACTAACACACCCTGACAGAGCGTCAAGGGGCATTAGCAGAGTCTCCACAGACCAGGAAAATGCACAGGCAAACACAAGCACACCAAGGCAGTACATTTGCTATCAGACCTATTGTGTGACACTGACATATGGTGTGACTGACACGCACAAGCAATGATAAGTCTAGCACCCAACCGCACCTCTGTCAAGCAAACACAGGAGCAAAGACACCATGTTAGCAAAACACAAACAGTACCATTGAGCTAAAATGACAAACGTCTTCAAATGGCACTCTCAGGAAAGTTCACAAATCAAAGTAAAAAGCAAGTAAAAGCAAACAACAAAAAAGGCTAATTTGTAAGGATTTAAAACAAAACACCACCATGAGGGGAAATGATATAAATAGAAGATGAGCAGCATATAAAAGTAAAAATAATGAGGCAAAACAGCATTAAGAAGTGATTTAAATGTACAGAGAACCAGAGGGAGAAAACAGATGAGATCATTTAAAGTTGCGTAAGAAGTCCAAGAGCCTCTCACAGTACTGAGGTCACCATTAGCTAGTTCTTAACACAGTGTTGGCCATCTGATAGCCCTTAAATAGCATCATCTCTGAACAATAAGTAATATCACACACAGGCTTATTTGTCCCTCTCCCTCCCTGTGTGTGCGTGTTTGTCCAAGTCCATGAGGTAATCTGACATTTGACTACTCCAGAATTGGATCGAGGACATCTGGTTTATGTTATTCACTTTCTTGTGTACTTTGCTTGCTCCATTTTTCCCCGTTCCATCATTGATTTCATTCTCAAGCACACTAAAGCAAAAACCTTCCTTCAAATAGCATAAAATCTGCCAAGGCCCAGCTTAAATGACCAAATGAGTGTGATTGTGACTAAATCTATTGGCATACAAGAGAAGGGTTATGGGGGTTTTGAAACAATAACAAACACATTTCTGAAATGAACAGTGAAGATTCTGTGGTGAAACCCTGAAAAATATAAAGAATACATTTGAGTGTGAACAGTGCAGCGTTCCTCATCTGTGTCCTCTGATCCTCTGGCTCAGAAACACTAATTTTAGATGCACTTTGCAAAAAGAAGCAGAGGTAGTGGAGTGTGAGTTGTGTGTGACTGTGTGAGTGAGTGAGTGAGTGAGTGAGTGAGTGAGTGAGTGAGTGAGTATCTCTGCGGCAGCTCATCAATTAGACAGAAAGCAGGCTGGCTGACGGACGCCGTTGTCTCAGCCACACGGTATCAAGAGCTGTGCAGGTGGAGAGAAGTTAGGGAGATAATCACACCACTAACACAGAATGAGGAAGTGTACAGCTGGGATTTTCAACAAATTCAATATTAATTGAGAATTTTCTGTGCTTTTTTTGTGACATAATGAACTGAAAACAATAAGACGTGCGTGTGTTCCTGCTGCCAAAGGAGAAAGGAAAAGACTGTCCAAAAAAGGCCCGAATAGAACGTGAATGTATGCGACCGAAATGTTTCATTTATAATCATATAATTTACTGTGCTAATTACCAATGAGTAGTTTTTATTCCATAATAAACACAACTGATATGCAGCCAACTCAGTCTGTAGTGTGGTAAAATATTTAATTTAATTTTGTTAGAAGTCCTGTTTTAAACCTATAATAGGACCCAAAGCTAACACATTTGACAATAAATAGTCATATTTTCACTTTTTAAATAAAAATGCAACATTTGCTGCTTCCAGCTTCTAAAAAGTGAGGATTTGAGACTTCTTTTTGTCATATGATCGTAAACTGGGGTTTGGACTGTTGGTTGTTACAAAACAAGACATTTGAACACGTCTCTGGAAAGTTACATCAGGTACTTTTCACCATTTGATATGTTATCTGGTATGTTAAAAGGATTCATTGAGAAAAGTATGTGCAGATTAGCCAATAATGAATATAATTGTTAGTTCCAGCACTAGTGATGGTTATGCAAGAAAGTTTCTTTCATCACTGACATAACCACAGTAAGTAATTTTACTGAGGAATGATGACTACATTTTTCCTGAGAGTTGATTGGACAGCACCCTCCATCTTCTTAAACAGCAAGTATAATGTTGACATGGAGTCAGTTAGCTACGCTGTGGGCTCCAATTCGAGCCCCAATTGTTATTCCAGTAATGTTTCACATTTTGGCAAAAATGCGCCATCGAAAGTATAATGAATTAGCTATTTCCAGTTCTTGTTTAGATGCACAGACAACCGTCACTGGATTACTTTGAAATTGAAGAAAACTTACAAATGTTTAAATTCTAAGACAAGTTTTGGGGTCACAAGAAGCGTATTTTTTCTCTCATTTCTAAGCCTCACAGTTTGAAAGCCTGTACTCTGAACTGAACCCATTCCAGAGCCAGTTAGCCAAATAAACCTAGTAGACCAACTACTCTCATTTAGTCCTACAGGCACTTGTTGAAGAGATTTTCTTTTGTTCTGGTTGGGCTTTTCCCCATGCCCTTTCTAGGTAAGTTTTCTCACCTCATCTGGGGGGAACAGAGGGAAAGAACATGTTAATAGCTCATGTTCATACAATGAACACATTGGATGAAAATCTTCAAACCCTATATTACCCAAAAACCACTAGAAACCAGTGACAGAGGCCCTGCCACCTGAAAGCACACAGCGGTATAACACACACCAGAGGGGCTTCCCAGCATGAGTGGCACGTGTTTGGAGTTGGTCAAAACACATGTCTCGCACTGCCTCTGGTCCACACAAGTGTTCCACAGTGAAGGCCTGGAGGCAAAAAAAACCAAATCCAAATTTCCCCAATGTAACCCTGCTCTCAAGCCAACGTTGAGTTCTCTCTCTCTCTCTCTCTCTCTCTCTCTCTATCTCTCTGCTGCAAAGAGCACAACGTCTGTTGTCCGGCTGTAATCAATCCCCCTTTTGTGCTCAAGCAATTTGATCTGTTCTCTCCGAAAATATCCAAGAGGAAGATTTAGATTTTGCACCAAGCCCGGCGCAAGGACACAAGGCAGCCAGAAACCTTGATTAGCCCTCATCATTGCAGACCTATGACTAATGTTCCACTGTTCATATGTGAAAAATGGTGAAAACCTGTGGGTTTAAGCTGTGAGACGCGCTGGACGTGTGTATTGTGTCGCCAAAGAACTTGTTGTTGTGATGAGAGGGGCTTGAAATGAAACAGTATAGTCAACCGTGTCTCTGAACTAAAAACTGCAACAGACAGGTGTCAGAAATTTTCTATTTCCTTGAATTAAGGAAATGTTTTTGGTTACATGCTAGACATATGCATTTCCTGTAAACAGCGGAACGAGTAAATGCTTAGCCTGCTTCAGTTTAACTCACAGGCACTGCAGTGGAGCTGAAAATATTCTGTGTGTTGTCATTAGTGAAGCAGCCCGAGAGCCACAGAGTTGCATACTGCATGAACCAAATTTACCATCTGACTTTCTGTCTTTAGCTATCTGTAAAGTGTCAACGTATGTGTGAGCCTATAACACATCTATGAACAAGTGTGTGACATTATACACTGTGTGCAAATGCACCTTTGCAATCCTCTCTTGGTTGAAGAGTGCTGCTCTATCCTCCGATTTGGTTCCTGGCACTCTTGCCTGGAGAAAAACTATCTGCAGCGAATGCAAGATGAAGCTGGAGGTGCTGAGGGTGTTTGCATGTGGATTAAGTAAATAAATAAACAAATAAATAAATGCCTGGAGAAATGGTGATGTTTGGGAGAAGGAGGCAAGGCAGATTATATTCCTACTGTGGCTTTAATCAGAATAACAATACTGACGCGGAGAGAGAGGAGACAATGGAGGAAAGGGGATGCAGAGGGAGATGTGAGTGCAGCATACAAAGAGAAGCAGAGCCATACAGCATGCAGAGAGCAACGAGAGAGAGCATGGGGACGAAAATAGTATACATTTCCTTTGGTAATGCTGTGGATTCACATGCCGGGGTTCCCACGATAGCTCTAATGTAAAACTTTCCGTGTCTGAAACACACCCCGAAATTGTACATTATTTCTGAAACTTGGTGATCAGTGGAGCTCCTGCAAAACAGTCACTGAATTTAACTACTATAAGGAGGGAGGGAAAACATTAGTTGAGAGTAAGACAGTGAGAAAGTGGGGTGCACGTGTCCCAACCAATGGTGTGTTAGCCCCAGATGTTCCTCCCATCCCACCCCTGCCTCCTCAATCAGCCGAAAACCTCAAGAGGGACGAGCCTGCCTGTGGGGAAAGGAGAGGAAAGAGAGAGAATGTGTTTGTGTGGATGTGGTGTCCAAGGGCCCTAGTGTATTGATATATACTGTGTAGGTGTGTTGGAATGGCTCCAACTCACCTGTGATTTGACTGATTCAAATTGATTTTACAAGATGATTAGCATTGCTAGCTCTAACCCTGTTTCAGGAAAAACGCTGCAGTTTCAATGCTGCCATCTTTATTCTACATGCCAAGGAACTAATGAGGAGCTCAGTCTGTTTTAAAAGACAGCAGGTAAAAACCAGTCTTCACAGACTAACACCGCTGGACCTTTTGCATTATAGCTATTGAATAATGAATTGCAGGGAAAGAAATTACTTTAAAAAAATTGATGATATATGACATTTTGGAGGCACTTTATTTAATTTGATAAGTGCTCTTCCACCAGGCTCTTCTTGGAACAGACAATGGCTATGTTGATGTCTTTTTTTAAAAGGTCCCATACAGGAGATATGTGCCTTATGAATAGGCTAAAGGTGTTGCAAGACTCGTGCACTTTATATGTAGGCATGTACCTTTCTAGATTTTTAAACAACAGATAATGTATAACTGAATGATTCAAGAACTTGTTACAATTTGTAGTAGCCTAAATACAGGAACATGGCACAGGGCTGAAACATTTTTCATTATCAAAATATCTACCAATTATTTTCTAGATTAATTGTCAAATAGTTTTATAAATTTAAAATGAAATTGCTCAGTGCAATCATACTAATATCTTTGGTATGAACTGTATGAATTAGAACCAGCATACTGCTAGAAATAGTGTGTATGCTCAGTTTACCTTTTTGTCTCAAAAGATAAACAACAGAGCCTAACATGGCTATGGAGTTACACCTAAAATATGTTGTATATATTAAAATTCTTGTGCCAACATTTTGGGGGTTTTGTAAATTTTACTTTCAGCAGTGGTGTGAATTAAGCATTAACATGTGAAAGATAAGTGTGTGATGATCCCACGAGCCCCGTCAACAACGCCCCAGGATGCATTCCAGGCAGAAAACTTAATGAAAGTGAAACTGTCTGCAGTTTCTAGCTCTTTCTTTACAAAGCTACTATAAGATCTGGTGCACTCCATATGGGAGGGGCTTCTAGGGATCTGCAATAGCACAAAAAACATAGTCACAAATTCACACTTGTGAACACTTGCTTTTCTGCGATGGATTCCATGCGTAAAAGAAGACACGCACACACACACACACACACACCCCCCCACACACTGACAGTTGCAGTGGAAGAGCCTGTCTGTGCTTGTCGTCTGATGGAGGCTCAAACAGGCCGGTAAACACAGATGTGGAGGCTCTGGAGCGGAGATACACTTCCCCTCCAGTTATTTGACTGCACTTCAAATACAAATCAAACCACATTTTTACTCTTAGCGGTCATTTTTCTGCATGAACTGCTGAATTCAGTATTCATATAGTAGTTTTTATTGTTAGCAGAGTCCACCAATTGCCTGCTGGATTCAAACTGCCGCCACACACACACACTCATGGGTTTTACAGGAAACAGAACAAGTGTGTAATTCAGCAATTGTATCTAATTAATACCACAGCCTGACTGTTAACTTTTTACTGTTGCTGCAATGTATCAAGTCACCCTGAATGCAAATGTAACATTTTCTACTGCAGCTGCTTTAAATTAAAAGCCTTCAAGTGGTGAAACACAAGGTGACTTTTATTGTGAAGCAGCCACAGAAAATGTGTCACAGCTGACCCAGCCAAATTAACCAAGACTAAAAAGCTTTAGGATTACAATATTAATCTGCAGGAAAAATAAAGATGGATATAAATAATTCCTTTAGTTAACTTCTTCCTTGAGTAACTTTGTATTTTTTACAATAGTTTGCTGCTGCTGCAGTATAAAACACCAAGGTGAACATAGGTGAAAATACGACAAAGTATAAATCACCACCGCTACAAAATTAATGATTCTAATTCGGCTTTCTATTATGCTGCTGCTAAAATTTTAATTAAACTGTACAGTGCTGAGTGTCAGGATTCATGCGAGTGTTTGAAAGTGTGTGGGAGCAGACAGCAACTCTCAGCAACTTATTAACACTGAGTCGGTTTGTGTGTATGTGTGTTCTTTATTAGTATTGATCTGTACACTGAAGAAGTAAACAGGCTTTCTAGGACATAATGGAGACCAGTCTCTGCCCTAAATCGAAGCGAGTCCCACAAGATGTTTTTTTCCGTATTAAACCTGTAATTGTATGGTGATTGTGCGTGGATTCAGTTTTCAGGTTCTGCAAGAAAAGAATCCTTGACTATAATACAGAAATCAACCTTTTCGGTCTCCTTTAAGTTAGATACTGTAAAGAGGACAATAGCTTAATGTTTAAAATAAAGTGCAGGGTCCAATGAAACCATGAGGTAAACAGGACACCTGCAATCCCCAGCAGAAACACTGTCCTTGTCCCTTTCCTTTGTTGACACTGAGACCTTGGTTCTCATTTTTCACTGTGAACGGCAAACAGAGATACCAGAGGATCAATAGCTGAAAGAGACAAAGCAGTAAAGACGCCATGAGCTGTGAAAGCACAGGTCTCTGTTTACAGAAAAAGCCAACAGTGTCAGACAGACAGGATGCTACAAATCAGCCAAATGTCACAGGCAGTGTGGCTGAGACGTAGGGGGACATTGATAACTTTAAACACTCGCAAGGGGTGGAGAAATACATCACAGAAGGAACAAAACGGAGAAAGAGGGAAGGGAAACGCTGTTAGATGGCTGCAAATCACCACCTGACCATTCATTACATCTGTCTCTACGCCTGGGTGTTTGTGTGTGTGTAGGAGGAGATTACATTTCCATGCCACAGGCCGGCCCACAGATGAAACACTGCTGGGGAGGTTGATTAGCCACATCAGCGAGAGATGGCAAGACAAGGCTTCACAGACTGCTGTTGGACCGAGTCCCATCTGCCTCCTGCTGAGCAGCAACTAAGGCCAGATCGACTTGTTTTGATCCTATGAGGGGCTTCTGGGCCTGTTGTCCTTGGCTAAATGCAACAGCACACAAGGCCGAAGCTATTCCTGTGCATACGCAGAGCTAGCGTTGCAGCAAATGAAAACGTGGCATGTTAATAAAAAAAATGTTTTCTCAAAGCGCCAATGCAGTTCTTACATCACACACACAATGGAGTGCGACTGTAAGGCAATCAGAGCGGCCCACATTTTTGTAAGATGACCAATCACAAGAAAGAAGCAGTGCTCTACAATCTGTGCACAGCTGTTGGTTCATAACAGCAGCAGTAAGCAGCGGAGGACAATGTGAACTTATAGTAGCTGCTATGTTGATCATATGTCAACATGAGGCTCAGTAGGCTACGATTAAGTATCAGGATATTCAATACATGTTTTAAAACTTTTGTTGTGTAATTTCAGAACTGTGAACATTAAGGGATGTTCATTCATGTTTTTCTTTCAAAACAGCCTTCATCAAATTTATGCAATGAGGGATTTCATAGGTACTACGGGGAGAAACAAAGGTGTATTCAGCACCATGCAGTGCATTTCCTAAGAAAGACAAATTGCACTATATTGTCATCCTAACATTGCAGATAATGAGACTTCTATTTCCATATGCCAGTTATTTTATGCGTTTGTGGATTTCTGTCACATACAATGTCTAATTCAATAAGCATTCAAGTGAACTGACTGACGTTTTTTCCCCCAATCATTTACTAGGCTGAACCACCCTTTTCAGCATTTTCTCCCCTGTCAGGTACAGGTGTGATGGCAGACAGAAATGCCATATTACCGTCACATTTTCCACATTGCTTTCGTCATTTGAGATTTCACTGGTGCTCTTCAAACTATGCCATCTTGTTGCTCTTCCTCTGTAATACTTTAAGAGGCCTTTGCTATGAAAATTTATACAATTGAGGTGGAAACAGTGCAGTCCCTGGGCTGCTGCTCTGCTATATCTTGATAGCAGCCTCTCTGAAAGCCAGGCGTGTTTCCCTCACTGTCCAGATTCTTATCTCTGTAATTGCCTTCCAGTCAGGGAGGAGCACTAGTGGAGTTGGCAATAGTGCTGCCTACCACCCACTCCAAGACAGGAGACATGCTCCAATGGAGACTCTGGAGTGTTGGGGCCTTTAGTTCATTGCCAAGAGAGATGTGGTTGCCGCTTTGTCAGATTGACCTGCATTCAGGATCCAAATGTTGTCTCTCAGGGGTACCACTGGAAGTTTTAAGCGAACAGGGCACTGCAGGTCTATTGACGCGTTTCACAGTCCAGGTACTATCGCTGCACAACAGAGGAGCTCAAGCCAAGAGTGCCTCGACAATGGTATATGAGATTAGTGTCTCATCTCTAGTGTCCACAATGGCCGGATTGAGAACAGACAGAGAACCAACTCTTGTACACACCCGGCAGTGTGTGCAGTGTGTAAACAAACTATCTGAGGACATGGTGTGTACCTGAGGAGGCTACGCTGCCAAAATCGCTTTCATTTTCTAACAGGACTTATGTTGGACTAGGGATAGACTTGATGCTACGGTAACTCACTATAGGCTCTATACAGGAGTGGCCGGGGGCTAGCTGGTTAGCATGCTAACTTCAGTAGATATATCTCTGCAGAAGAATACATCTTTCACATAACAAACACGGTTATTTCTTTACATTCTGTTAATAATTTTAGTTCATATTTGTCTTAAATTAAATTCTTACATATAGCTCCTTTAATGCTCTGATTATATTGGTTACTCGTTTGTCTATAAAATGTAAAACATAAACAAATTCTAGTCCCAGTTTCTTATGGAACATCGTCAAATATCTTGTTTTGTCTGACAAACAGTCCAAACACCAAAGAAATTCAGTTCACTGTCATATTTAAAAACAAAAACCAGCAAATACTCACATTTGAGAAGCTTGGACCAGTGACTTAAATGATTAATGGATTATAAAGATTGTTGCCAGTTTATTTTCAATTGATCCAATAATCAGTTAATCAACTTACTGTTTCTGCACTACTGACAACTTGTTTTTACAGCAAATAATATAGTTTTAAATTATCTAAGAACACTTTATTATGAATATGATTGTGATTTTGAGCTTTAATTTAGGATAAGAGAAAAGCTCTTTGAGGATCCAAAGACAGAGTAACCGAAACTAAATTATGGTTACAGCGTCATTCGCATGAAAAAGGAAATACTATTCTAGGTGCTACAGAAAAAGCAAACGGATGTGACATTAGTGGTTTGATGCGCATAGAAAAAGGTGTCCAACAGAAACAAGGAACTCAGATATTCACATTGAGTCATCATGACAGTCAGAAGGTTGTCTATGACGTTGATTGTCTTGATAACCATCAGTCACTTTCATATGAAGTTCATGTCCATTCATCAGGTAAACTTATTGCTACTCAATTCAAGGTCTTAAAAGAGAAAAAGTTACGAAGGCAGCATGAACATTTGATAATAAATGGCAGTGCAGCAGCTGTCATTAGGGTTAGATCCATTCAAATGTGACTTTGTACAGCTCAATCAGCCTAATCCAATTCTCCATATATTGCTTCAGAGCACAGATTCCACATTCCTACTGTTTAATGCTGCACAAACAACTGAGAGCAAGTCCCAGGATCCCAGAAAAACCAACACCTCACTCTCTCAACTGGGCTGAATTCATCATCTGAAAGCTGGCAGGAAAATCAATGAAAACTAATAAAAGGGTCATGCAGCGTGAACAGAGGCCTTATTTGAATTATGTCCAAGGATGCGGTCTGGTCCTATAAAGTGCCTGGTGTGCACTGTGCAATACTGGCAGAGAGTTTAGCTGGTTGTAAGCCTTGGGAATGTTTTTCACGATGGGAATCTTTGAAATAAAACAAGGGTCATAGAAAACAGCCACAATCAGCTTATCTTCATTTCTTTAATTGGTCTCAGCTACTATATGTTTATCATGCACTTTCAAAACCTGAACAACACGGATTCTCTGGAAGGAGAAACTGTATAAAACGTGCCCATTCATGAGTCAGAGTTCATGAGAATAATGGCTTTCTGAAGCCAACTTCTTCCATGGGGATGCATCTGGAGAGACAGCTCTTTTGTGCCTTTTCTGTTAGAGCTGCAATCCTTTGGGACCAGATTTCTGCTTTTATCGAAGATGCGTACAAATCCAGACTTAACACAAATCCTTTCAGCTTTCTTTCCCTTACCACCTCACCACAACATGCACACAAACACTCCAAATTCAAAAGCAAAAACAAAAAATGCAATACATACCTGCCACATTAACTTTTTCGGAGTTTGCGACGCTGGGTGTGGCAGTGCTGGGACTGTTGGTCAGGTTGCCCCCTGTGCCATTGTAGATGTTTTCCACCTTGGACTCTAGCTTGCCCAGCCTCAACATGATGTTATCCAGCAACACTGCAAGGGTCTTCTTCAAGTCTGCAAGTGAGAATGTGCATTAGATTATTGGAGATGCATTAGATATTTCTGCACGTACGTCTCTGTGACTAGCTCACTAGTCACTAAATTCTCAAATCACAATCCTGCTTCAAGCCATCCACAACAAGTCAACACAGAAAGAAATGTCTGGACTGCGGCGTGCACTGATGCCTGACATTTTTATTTTATCAGCAGTCTTCAAAACACACAAATACTAATTTAAGAAGGAGACGTGCACTGACAGTAAAGTCATCAAATTGAGCAGTCAACATCAGCAAGTAACAAGAAATGCTAGCGTTAGCAGCCACTGCTGCATCCAACTGCATCTACATAAATATTGAAGTGTCTGAGAGGGAGAGATACACACACCTAATCATGAATGATTTCTTATCAGTTCACCATTTCTCACTTTATGTTAATGAAACCTGTAGTTTAAATCAATGGTTGTGATAATGTAAAATGTGATCAGGTAGACACTTCTCAGATTCTGCCAATTCACAAACCATCGTACAGTGGTATGATATTACTAAATCACAGCCGTCATAGCAACAGTGTCTGATATATTAATATATAAAATGTGTCACATAAGGGATAGAAAATATACACACGTACGTTTTAGTCTTGTGCAGTATCATCAGAGCGATCATATATGGAATACTTTGAGAGCATATGAGACTTATTAAATAGATTTTTATCTGTATCTGATTAACTGGGCAATTTATTCTGACTGAGAAAGAGCTTTCAATTCTTTCACTATCACCCAGCTTATCATTACAGTAGATACATGCATGAATCTTGCTCAACTACAGTGTGTCTGAAAATGTACAACTGGGAACTCCTTATCTCCTACTACAACAAATCGTTGGATTTCAGACGGTCAGCTTGAAGCTTGTTTAAATGTAAAACTAGAGTCAGGCCGGAGTGACCTTGCCGTTTAATTTGAGTCTTTGCATTTCTTTTTTTCTGTGAGCATCTATCTGCATAGGACACAGCTAATGGTAGGACGGGCAGGAGGGACGCTGACTAGTAATGAGACGGATAGGGCATTCATTCAAAATGTTAAGGCATGGCATTTTTTCGCCCTTATTTATTGTGGTATTTGTCTGATACTGTAACCTGCAGCGATTGCAGTGACATTTACAAAGAAATGTGAAGCTGTTTCAAGCCGCTGTAACTGGTACATTGGTCTATAGCAAAGAGCTCGGTCATCATCATCAAACTCAGAGTATACTTTTATCAATGCATTGGCTTATATGTGTACAGAACCGATCCAGAGTTCATCACGCTTGCCTTCCTCTGATGATGATAATTGCAGCTTGTCTATCACACACGAGCGCCACATTTTCCCTCACCGTGATGCATTTGACACGCCTGCCTTCATCACGTCAGAGAGATTGGCAGAGGCGCAATGAGGCCTGGCAGAGCACACCAGCCTGATCCGTGTGAAGAGAAACGCCAGAGTATTTGTCTGATTTGGATGAGCTGAGCGCTGGGAGGAGCAGATGCACAGGGAGCAGCGCAGCGAGACCGGGAAGAAACCAAACGGAAAGCTTTGGAGCAGCAGCCTTGCCAAGCTAACATAATTAGAAAAAAAAAGGGTGAGCCCAGAGTTAATGCCCCCCTCTGTTCACCTCTGGCACACAGGCCTGTGCCCACTGACTTCAGGCTGTACATCAGAGACATTCACCAGTCTTGTTAAATATCTTAGCTTGTACCGTAGCGAAGAACAACATGCTTCATAACAGCAAAGACAAACATATGTAAACTTCTTGTATGTATATTTGCCTTCATCCTTTTAAAAAGGCAACAAATCTACCAATCTTGACAAACTTCAGGCACACACAAGACAATAGGCCTTTAACGGTGTTCCTATCTGTACTTTTCATGGGCCGGTTATACTTCTTTAGTCACACGTCAAAGGCCACATCTAGAAGAAACTTTAAGACTTCTGTAGACTTCAGGACTTGTGCATTTATAATAACTGCTCATTTTGTTCTACAACTGTTCAGGCAATAAAGGGACAATTTTGATTTAGATTTGTTAAGAATAATGCCTAATTGACTATTTTCCCCAGCATTGTTGGTAGATGTGAGGCCAGCTCCAGGATGACCAGACAGTAATCATCCAACAGTATTACATTAGCAAGCCCTCTGGTATTTTAAAATCATAAGATATACTAAAATTTGCTGAATAATTTGTGTAAATCTAATATTTGTTGTTGCCCAGTTGGTTTGGCTGAAGGTGAAGTTACTTTTCTTGTTTTTACTGGACAGTTAAACATTGTACAGTGCTGCTTCTGTGGATGTTTGGCTTTTTATATGTACACATATTACTGCACTTCATCAATAATTAATTACAACAACAGGTGTACAGTTGTGTGCTGCAAAATTGAGCACTCTTCATCAATGCTATGCAGAGTTCAGTGTGTATAATTATTTTCTGCAATTCTTTGTTCTATAAAACAATCTGTGTATGTTGGTAGAAATAAATCGTTCTACGTGTCTAGTCTTTGCAGGTTTCTAAGACAATTGAAAAATGTGTCACCACAAAGTGACAGAAAGCAAAAAAAAAAAAGAGAAATTTCTCTAGTTTTAAATTAATTAAATGTGAGGCTTCATTAGCCAGTGTGTTCCATGGCACTGTTAATAATGCTCTGTACACTAACACTGCTGCCAGGTAACCCGATGAGTAATAGCAACACCCAGGGACACATTTCTGCCTGTCTCAATATTTCTTAGCAAGGTGATGTAGTTGCAAAACAAATCCTGGAGCAACAAACACACCGAACTTCCCTTTGCTTTTAGTAATAGTGTCATATACGATAATCTTCATGCACAATGGCCTGGGGTTTTTCATTAAGCCCATGAGCATTAAAAAGAAATGATTACAGGGGAACATAAGCCCAAAGCATCAGTGATCCCTATTGTTTATTGTCATCTGTAAGGCAAGCTTCAACCCAGCCTAGCAGTGGTCTCCATATCTTGCCAACGTAACATAACAAAGCGAAGATAGAAGCAGAAGGCGCACACAAAGACCTTCCGCCCTCGCGAGGATGGAAAGGATTAGAGCAGCAATATAAGCTTACACCACACCCCAGTAGGATTCTTCTGATTTCTGATTTTGGTCCTACAGAGCAGGCCAAGGCAGTGCGATGCACGTCCACGCCACAAAAGAAATCAACAATAACCGCGGAACCATTTGGTAACAAGGCACAGTGTCAAGTGGCTTGCCATGCCCGGCTGCATGGCTCGGTTTCAAAAGGGGTTGGAACGGGAAAGATCATATCATTGTCACGTCTGACTTTACTGTGGAGGAAGAAGATTATATGACAGGCTTCGGCTATAGAGACATGTTTTTGGTGCAGTTGTAGAGGAGACTAGCCGACTCCTGGAATCTATTTAGTGGTGCTCCTCTTGGATCTAAAGGGAGATTTTTCTCTCCTTGCTATCCAGGAAACTGTCAGACAAACATAAAACTGACAGATATTCATATCTATCCTTGTTCTGATCGAAGCATATAGGTTCCAAATATTAATAAACTGAAACAGAGGGAAAAAAGGCACAAAATCAAAAGTGAACAAAAACAATCAAAACTCTATAAAATCATCCCACCCTTAGATAATCCACAGAAAGACTACAGAGATAAAACTTCGATCAAGAGAAATCAATAAGTCATTTAAGCCAATCCTCAAGAAAAAAAGTGCCAAATATTCTCTACTTCCAGCTCCTTAAAGAGAAAGAATGTGCTGCCCTTCCCCGTATGATCATGACCTGAATACCATTTGTCTTTGAGTGTAGGTCATACAAAAGATATTTCATCCTAATCTCCATAAAGTGTGATGAAGACTAATTAACATTAATCGAGAGAATAATCAGCATTGACGATGGTTTACTAAAAATAAAACTGCATTTTAGCTTATTGGGATGGTTTATAAGTTGTTAAAATAAGTTATGAGAGGCTGCCTAGAAACAATACTTTGTGTCCTCATAGAAGCTAATTCCAATCATAATTAGTTTCAGAGGAATAACTGACAGTCCTATTTTCACCTCCCGTAGCAACAACAAAACACTGTGAAGCCAACTGTGCCATAGAAAGACAGAAGATAATTTCCTAACCAATTTGTTATCAGTGAATCAAATTCCAAAAAGTAATTGTCGTTAAATCTTATCCCCTGTCTACTGGTTTCCTAATAAATTTCCTCAATTGATGATTATATATACACATTCTGTGATTAGAGCTGATACTGAGGACGCTCAGACCCATTCAGGTCAGCTCAGGTATTAGGTACTAGGATTAGGGTTAGACATACTGACAATCAGATGCAAGGTAGGGGTGGGCGATATGGGCAAAAAATTATATCTCGTTATTTTGGGGGATTTTGGCGATAACGATAATCAGTCGATATCCTTTAAAATGTGATTGGAATTGTCTGAGTTAGGGCTTGTGTCCACCAAACGCGTTTTTAGCACTGAGAGCGCTCAAAAACAAATTTTCCGAGCACCCAGCGGTGTTAAAAGTTGAACAGATTTCAACTTGAAGCGCTCTGAGTGCTGCACTAAAAAAGACTTTTTGAAACTAAACCATTTCCATGCCAGAGAGGTAGACCCACGTCTCGGCACTAAATCATCTGAAGTACCGGTAGCTTCAGGGACTGGAGGTGCTCGCATTCTCTCTCTACCATCACAACGTGCTGGTAAACTGTTGCAAGGAGGATGCTAGCGAGAGGTCATGTGATCACGTCATGTGATCACGTAGGCCCACTAGTCGTGTGACTGAATCCTGCCATGCTGTAGAGAGCGTTGCTGCACCGTGTATTAAGTGGATGTGAGGAGTTTCCGTGGGCGTTTCATTATTTAGTAATTAAGTAATTTAAATACTCGATAATGGAAATTTGCACATCGTCAAAACAACAATGACGATATTATCGCAAACGATATATATTGCCCACCTCTAATGCAAGGTGGCAGTAAACCATATGTATACCCTGAGTATAATTTGGTCCTGGTCCAACTCGAATCTCGGGTTGGGTTTTACCAACAATGTTAGAAAAAAGCCGTCCAAAATATTGAGTGAGAATATACAAGTAAATTTTGGCCAGTTTGGAATTAGTAACATTTATTAATCTTGAAATGAAATACTTAAAAGAAATGACACAAGAAGTCATAGTTCATTAAAATATTGATCAAAGGGGAGCAAATTTGGTTCATAATAATCTCTAAAATCACAAGTTTCTTAAAAAGTTCAGGCTGAGTTCTTACTGCAGCGGTAATGGTATTCAAATCGACCAGTGGCCCTTTGTGTCATCCCCCCTCTCTCCCCCCTTTCCAGGAGAACAATTAAGAAATAATACCTAACATGAAGATACTGAAAGAAAAGAGTTCGATATTTACACATTACGTTACACACTATATTTAGCAGCAACCAAAAATAATCTAAAGCAGCTGTGTATAAACAGGCTGACTGACACATTTATTTCATGCTTGTGTTTCTTACAATCAGCTATAACTCATAAAGCAATATTCTTACCATGCTCCAAATGGCCTTTCAGGAGACACAATATTAAATTCAATTGCATTAAGATTTTATGGGTCATTTATGGGTAGCAAAGGAGGAAACCTTGTTTCCCCTTAAACTCATTACAAATCATATCAGGGCAAATCATCGAACAAGTGAGTGAACACAGGAAGCACAAAGTACCCTGCTGTCTCCCTATCTAATCAAGGACATGAAATGGATTTTGATGTGATATTGGACGGCGGTCAGCACACTCAGACAGCACCATGAAAATCAATCCATCATATAAGTGAACAAAACAAACTGGACAGGACACTGTTCCCTGGAAACATCCCCAGGATGATGTTACAGGAAAATCTATAGACGAGGATACATTTACCCCAAATTAATCACATGATTAATGAGGAGGATAACTCCTATGTAAATAGTATATAGGCATAGTTTCTCTTCTTGAAGAAAAAAGTATATATCTGGGGAATTCTAGCTGCACAAACTAACCTAATTTATTCTTCATCTTGAGTTATTAACACCAAGTCATATTGAATTACAGATGACTAATTACTTGATTAAATATGCACAGATGTTGAGGTTTGATTTCCGTCATGCTGCTAAAGCAATACTGTTGCAAAAGTACAGTCTGCTGACAATAGTCTGAAAGTGATGCTACTTTTCCAAAGTGGGCTGGCATTTCCCACATGTACCTTTAAAAAAACATGAGCACTTTGGGTTATTTGGGGGCTTTTTATTGGTTTGATTTGATAGAAGCAGCTGAAGAGTGATTGGAAAGTGGGGGCGGAGAAACGGGATGACATTCAGCAATGTCTTCCCTCCTAGGTGAGCTACTGGGGTGCTCCAAACACGAACAGTTTAATGCTCCAACAAACAAAAAAAGACCTGTACGCTAGGCAAGTACTGCACTTGTTTCTTTGCATAATCCAGCGTCTTCCTTTATGTTCTCTGGGAGCAGATTTAATCTCCTGGAGCTTTACTGTATCCTGTTGTTTCTCTGGGCATTAGAGAACAATCAATTCCAATCTCAGGTTTCTAATGAAGCCTCCCATCGAGCCATATGGGTCTATTAATGGCATGAATAACTTATTGATGGGTGTTCTCAACCTGTGCTATTACAGTTTTACGCTCCGATGTCGCTGTATCAGCGTTAAAATATAGACAATGTTGTGCCTGCTCAGGAGGAAGACAAGTGGAACCATATGATCCAATTTAAAGAAAATGTAAAAGAGAAGGAAAGCAAAGACCAGTCTGGTAGCGATCATATGAAAATTAAAGAAGTTATGGCTCATGCAATATCAATTTAACATGTTTGCAATGCTAATAGCAGGAAAGAAAGAAACCTATACACTTCACATTCATCAGGCTTTAGCTCCATCTAGATATGTCAGGAATTATTCTCTTGTAATGTCTGGCCTATTGACCAATAACACTTTCTTGTACTAAGGCAAGAGCAGATCACAGAGCCAGTATGACTGGAAAAACCTGTGAAGACACAGAAAAAAAATATTTCCAGTGAGTCATTGAGCTATGAACCCTGTTCTAACGTGGAAGGACGACGGTTCTGCTGCATAGTGTTGCAGCAGGAGGGTATATGACTATTTAGTTAGTAAGCTGTGGGCTACAGTCAGTCTATATTTGTTTACATTTTGGTAAATTAGCACTAATAAAAGTATGATGAATTAGCAAGCATATTTTCTTCTACGATATCTCAGTGGATTTATGGACTTTTATTAGAGATGGTTTGGGATAACTTTCCTTACAAAGTCGCACTGTCTAAACAACAATGTGTATCGTGTGTGGTCAGATTTGACTGAGTTACGGCTCTGTTTGACGCTAACACAACAATCGAGCACTAAGGGTTTTAAAGTACCTTCATTTGCTCCATGAGCTGTGTGTCACAGCTACTGCTGGGCTGTTGACCCTGTTACATCAATACAATAACTAACTTCCTGTTGTTCTTAGAATACAGGCATGCACCTGTCACTTTCACAGTTTGAAAACCTTTTTGTTGTATGAACTGCAGCAAGAGAGTTGGCTACTCACCATACGCTGTCATGGTACCCACATAGGGCCCATCCATAACACTTTGGTTCTCCTCAGCCAGGGCCTTGATGTAGCGCTTGCTGAGGTCCAGGATCTGCTGCCTCAGTACAGCGCTGTTCTCATGGCTGGCTCGCTGCTGGATGGTGAAATGCAGCAGCATCATGCCCCAGATGAACCCAAAGCTGACAAGGAAGAAGCCCAGCTTCTGGGATGACAGCTTCCACAGGAAGGGTGTAGCCATGCTGACTTGACAGGGAGTTGTAGGGAGCTGCTGCGACTCTGATTTTACCGAGGGAAGGTGCAGAGGTGAGGGAGGAGAATCAGGAGGGCAGGCGGGGCATGGTGGTGTCAGTCGGTGAAGCGGTGCAGTGGTTTTTTGGGGGGTGGTGTATGGCTTGTTTGCCTCACCGGCGTGATTTCCTTCTCTGACCCATCCTCATCGCTCAGTAACATCTCAGTGGACTGACTCCAACCTGTTGCATCCTGCAGAGAAGACGGACACAGGAAAGAGGGATAAGTCGTTAGTTGGTCGGTCTGCTAAACACAGATAATGAGGGTGTTCCTCTCCTAAACCAATACCACATGTACACAATAAAAAAACTCTGATAATTGGACAGTGAGTCAACAGAGTTAGCCATAAACTATAGTATATAAAGAATAGTTAGAATACAAGTTCAGAGAGCTCAAAGCCAAAATCTTGATATGGCTTGTTTATTATTATCTTTAACAGGCATTATTTTAAAATTATATAAAAGACAGATGATCAGCGAATCCCCATATTTAAGAAGCTGGATATCTGGATATTTGTCCTCAATGAATGACTAAAACAATCACTAAATTATCAAAGATGCTGACAGTTAACTTTCTGTTAACTGATTAATCAATGAATGGATTGCTGCAGCACTACACTGAGGTCAATAATCTGTCTATATGACAAACCATTTCTTTCAAGCAGAAACACAGTAAAGCCTTGTGTCTTGCTATATAAAAGGTAATGTATGGATTTTCAAAGGGTGAGAAACAACTTCACACACTAAGACCAGGCACTAAAAATGGTAACACATGACGCCACAACTGCTGAAGATCACAACGTTCTTTTAAACAAGGAACTAGCTATCAATGCACACATCTGCAGCTTGTTACTTTTGCAGCATACTGCAGCAGGTTTATAACTGCAGCAGACCACACAGCACAAAGGCACACTGTACCTGTAACTGGAGGTCGCTGTATGTGAAAGCTCCTACGTAGGGAGCAGGATGGTGACACACCAAAATATGTTCATTTGATTGAATGGCAGAGGTTGAATGGAGGCACACAGTACAGATTTTAATCACACATATTACACAGGGACACTAAAAGCTTCTCTTTCAGAAAGGAGAAATAAGTACATAGAGCATGGTGTAGATTAGCTATACAGACTTTAAGCAGGAATATTTGCTACTACTGGATAAACTCAGGAGAAGTAATTTAAAGTTTAATGCTGCTATGGCTCTTGAAAGAGAGGCTACACAGAACAGCCTCATCTCACCCAGACAGTGTGATCTCTATGATTGATGGGGCTGTAGGGAATTTATGCAAGAGGGTTTATAGTTCCCTCGAAATATAAACATTTGGATAGCCGACTATTTATCTTCCTTGATGACAAGCGAGATCCCAAACAGAATTTCAAATACATGGCTTTTCTGTTATTACTTTCTGTTGAATTTCTTCAACAGGTTTTTCTGCAGTAAATGATGGAAGCTGTCCCCATTGGACTGTGTGCAGCTGAGCATGTGTATATATATATATATATATATATATATATATATATATATATATATATATATATATATATATATATATATATATATGACTGTAATGTACAAAGTTTTACTCTTTTACTCCCACTAAAGGAAAAACATATCTGTAGGAGGCAAAAGGTCACCACAGCAACTCAAAACCTCAAAATAATGGTGACAAACGGCTTGTTTCGTCACACCAATGGTCCAAAACTCAAAGATGTTACATTTTCCAATTATATAAACCAGACTAAAGCTGCAGATAACAACACTTTAGAAGCAGGAGCCAGAGAATATTTGGTATTTTTCTTGAAAGATAACCTAAACGATTACTCAGTTATCAAAACTGTAACAACTGGGGCACCCTGGTCGTATCACGGCTAAAGTGTCATTTCTTTCTCCCTTCATTTCCTTTCATATGTCTGCTGTCAAGCTAAGGCTTGCATAAAAGACCCCCCAAAAGAAAAAGAGAATAATATTTCCTTTGATGAATAGCAGTTGGGATCTGTAAAGAACTGGTTTCATGTGCTCTTTGAGTTGAAAATGACTACCAACAACTTGATTCTAGCAGATACTCTATCTGGTCAGTAAAACGATTAAAGCCACTTCTGTAAACTACATAGCGACCCTCCACCCTGTATGATGCAGTTTGATAAAACAGAGACCCATTTACACTTTACGTCACTTCATGATTCTTTGGCAGAATGGATAGTTATCTGAGCTGAGAACCATTTTAGCCAGATGCCGAAAAAGGTGCCAATATATCTGTATACATAATCTTTACTTCAACTCCAACTCTGTCAGTAAGCTGTCTGTGGAAATAGCCTCTACAGGGTCTGTTCCCTGTGATAACAGCAGCTGGAGTTACACTGAAATTAGATGTTTCATTAAAGCAGCTCAAGCCATTTCAACACATACAATCATACAGAAGGTGCGCCCATCTATTGAAGCATTTATCTGATCCCTGATCAATTAAACCACTGTATGTTCTATATTGGGATCTGGCAAACAGAGACACATATATGTGGCTAAATGCTTATTTATCTATCACCAGAGATGTGGACCCCCGCGGACTTGCACGCAGGCAGCAGACACCATCGTACTTCTTGTAGTACGTAGCGCACAGATTACTATACTTACCATGTGGATGCAGCAAGTGTCTTAAAATTCATCTCATTTCCAAGTGTAAAGGAGGCCACATTGAGTAACACAGTTACTGATTGAGCAGTTAAAAAATTGCAAAACCACAAGCTATTCATTTCCTGTCCCTGCAACTTGTAACCTGCAAATGTCAATACAGTTGCCCCTTATCACATGGTCCACTCTTTCAATCCAGTCTTAAACCCTTTAAGGCTGCTATTAACTATGTACAGTTTGTTGTAGACTTACATTCGAGCAACAGAAAACAACTTCACTACAAATTCCCATATTATCAGTACAATGGCAATATCTCTTGTTGCCATCAACGCTGCACAGAAACCACCAGATGTAGAACATTATATTAATATGCTTGATCAGAGGATATAATTAATTACCTATAAAGTGGTAATATTCCTAAAAATCCATGCCTGCATATTAAGCAAAAATCGGATTTCTAGATAAACCTTATACATTATACTTTCCCCCACTGAGTGAGCAGCTTCATATATATATGTTGAATCAATCATAAAAAATAAAAACATCAGGTTATTTAATGAACATTAAACTTGTAGTGTGCTATTTTCATTCTTGCCATATTTAGTGCTGATTGAACACAACAATGCCAATGACCAAAAACACTGAAACATTTGCCTAGAGCAGAAAGAAGGCACAGACCTGCAGCACTTATGAAGCAGCTAAATAGATTAACAGTTCCTAACTGACAAACACAAGGCAATCTATCTAAGCTAACAACTTTGCAGCATGCAATCAAGCCACAAGAGAAAGATGTTAGATCTTCACTCATCTGCATTCAACCGTTGTAGCTGTAAATGAGGCTAAGTGTGGGGAGGGGATTTCTGCAGCCTTGCTTTTGAACTGCGTCTCTCTCATGCTCTTTCAAAGCAGCTCTAACCAGGTCAGGACCACAGCCGCCTCCATGGACACACCGCATTTAACTTCTTTCACCTGTCCGTATTTTAATCATTGTATTTATTGATCTGGACGGTCAGTATTCACAATGACGCACAGCAAAAGATATCAGCACTGAACTGTCTGCAAAAAAAAATCATCTGCATCTCCCCAAGAAACACAGAAGGCAGCCACACAAAGGGCTCTTTTCACCTTACATCCATCAGCTTCATAAATAGGTCAGAGACAGCTGCAAGCAGCTTCCAACAGGGCTGGAATCTCACAGCAGGTTATGACACACCATAATTGTTCAGTCATTTAAGACAAAGGCTCATGTCTGCTTTCTGTGCAGAGAGGGAGCTTTTTATACATTTTAACAAAGCACGGATAAATACTGTGTTGTCTGAATTCCTGTATCTTTTCCTTTTATATTTAAGTCTGATTTGTCTTATGATGTGCGCAACATAATGCTTTCAGTGGGGGGGGGGGGAAGAAATCTCTGCACTGCACTGTGAATTCATGAGACAAGCCCTTGGCAGTAGCGCTGTGCAATCTGCAGCGCTGATAACATCGGATGTCTCTCATTGCTAGGGACTCACTTGCTCGGAGGAGCGCAGGAGAAGGCTGGCAGCACTCGCTGGTTTTGGGCGCAGACACGGATGGGAGGCTCTGGGGCTGTTTATCAGAGAGGAACGATGCTCAGACTGCCCTGTGGTACATCGCAATAAGAAGCACGAGCCAAAGCCTACACAGAACATTGACTGAACCGCTTCAGTTTCTGAATACACACAATCTCAGTGGGAGCTGGCTCTCTTGTCTGGCCTCATTTTCTATGTCCATCCATCTTATTTAAGGCTGAAACTGATCACACTCCTTTGTTTGTTCCTATCACAGGCACTGTCCTGTAATCTGTAAAGAAAGGTGCGATGCAGCCATTGCCCCCCAGCAATGCATACATCTCCTGTTAGTTACCTTCTGGTTTCTAATTCAGGATCTTAATTTGTCTGGCAGGGAGCCCTTTGGCTCTCAGCAGCATCAGCCCAATGAAACTCAGAGAAACTGTGTTGACAGCCAGCTGAGGTTGCAGAATATATGATCCTTCGCAACTTGAGATGATAACGTAACAACGTGCTGAATGTTTTTTTCATTGTTGGAAGAGGCAGCAGTGCACAAAACCCTGTAGGTTCAAGAGGTGCTGAAAAGGGAAACAATTGAATCATTCAGGCCTGGGAGAAATTACTGTCCCCCCAAATCTGCTACAAAGGATTTTTGCCTGTAAGGGACAACAGAGCTGAAATTTCAGCTCTAAAACTGCATTTGTTTTCAGTTTAGTATTGACCACACTGTAGTACCGATATGCCATTCCAGACATGAAAAGAATGGAAATAACACACAAATGTTTGAAAAGATGGACATAACTCTGACTGACACAAAAAGAAATCTGAAAATGATTATTTAAAGTGACACCCTAGTTTCTATTCTGAAATTAGAGACTTACAGGTTTTAATAGGTTTCCTGGGTCCTTTTAACAGTTTTCACACTATATTCCAAATGAATTGTGTATTTTAATTGTTGCACTGATTACCTTTATATTTAATCACTGAAGAAAGCATTTACCAGAGTAGAGTGGAAATCTATCGATCAACCAAAGCATCT